ATGTTTGAATTCGTGTAACTAACTGCAAATAAACATAACCAAATAGATAATAAACATTACATTTTAAATTTAGAAAACATCTAAAATATAATTAGGATAATCATTGACTTCTATCAAAATATTTAATTATTATATTTATACAAAATTATATTATTAAACCAAAAAAAAAATGAATTAAATAAATACACAAAAAAGAGAAAATTTTAAATATTTAGGTATTAATTTCAATATTTCTTTTACAAATTTTTATGATATCTTCATATTCATATTTTATTTAAAAATAAAAACATCATCGCTTTCTTAAAATCACATAAAATTGTATTATAACATGACTGAGACAAAAAAAAAATTTAAAATCGAGATGTATCTCACTGTATTATGCAAGTACCCGTCTAATATATATATATATATATATATATATATATGGTATATTTCTTTTACAACCTTGTGTATTTGTACAACCCTTCCAACCCAGTTAATTGAGATATTTATAGAAATGATGGGAGTTTATTTATTATGATTTGAATATTTATGGAATATGAATAGAGTTCATTAATTATGATTAATACTTTATATTAGAAAACAATCAAAACTTTTATGAAATCACATATTCATCAAATGAAATGGACGGTTGAGATTGAGTTGTATTGGTTGCACAAATGTCAAGGGTTGTATAATAACCAACCTCTCTCTCTCTCTCTCTGTGTATATATATATATATATATATATAGACTTTGGATCATGTTAGACCAAGGGTTTTTCGCGAGACCCGTAAGACCAATTATCAACCCTTGGATTAGATCTACTATCGTCAGATCTTAACATTCATAAATGCCACGAGACTTCTCAATAATTACAAAATTGTCACCGTGCAATTTTAGACCATTAGAATTAACTTATAAAGTTGATCAATGAACATAAATTGGTCTTACGAGTCTCACGAAAAACTCTCGGTCTCACGTGAACCCAACCCTATATATATATATATATATATATACACACACACACACATAGTGTCTCTCCATTTTTTTATCACTATCGTTATTTCCACAAACAATTTCAAACCTAGAAATATTTTAAGGCACATGTGTAATTTTTATTGTAGGAAAGTTTTTGAGCATCATGTTTACCAAATATTGGATGAAAATGGCTCCATATCTTGACAGGACAACACCAGTGGTATGTCTTATTGGGACATACAACCCGTGTTTCATCGATATAAAGTATGTATACATGTTTTAGCTTTTCTTGCAAAGAAACCTAGCTTAATGCTTTCAATTATGTGGCTTAATCTCATCTTTCTTAATTAAATGTAATTCTATGTTCTGTTTTAATATAAACTTTGATTTGTCTGTTTTACATAAATTTTGAAAAACAATTACAAGATTTCATAATAAATATAGTTATTTACGGGTTATTTATTTCATGAACTCGTGCAGTCGTGTGAGCAACCAACATAAATAGTTTATGCATAAAATGTAACATTTAGGCATATTAAAATGAAAGAATTAAGGACCTAAAATGCATGAACTATAAATTTAATCATATTAGAAGGATTATTTTCAAATTATTACTTAATCATATTGAAAAATTAATAATACATAAATATCATTTTTACTGGTTGGTTTCACCTCTTAGCCATTTTTTACAAAGTTTACCAAAATAGTTTTAGGTCTGCATTTTTTTTTTACGAAACTGGGTGAATAATGTAATTTTTTTTGCTGACCTAAGTGATATATATTTTTTACAGACAAGGGTAGAAAGTGTAAAAAAATTGTCTTTTAGCTGGGTTTGCAATTACGAACTTATGGTTATTTTGATAAACTTGAAGAGAAAATGTCTAACAGGTGAAACCTAAGGATGGTAATTTGCCTCGGCCTGGTGGAAACCCGACTCACCCAACCCATACGGGGACGGGGATTCCCCGCTAAAATGGGTCCCGAGACCGGGACCGAGGCTCGCTGGTTTGACTCAAAACGGGGCCGTGGGGTTGTTACTCAAACCGAGATTGGGGGCTGGGTAAGAGATCCCTGGTAGACTCAAACTGTCGGATATTCTTAATGGGATTTGACCGGGATGAGATATTAATCCTCGTACCCGCCGAGGACCGAGGCCAGAGCCGGGGACTATTACTAAAAATCAGGGCATGAGTTAAGGATTACAAAACCCACCCCATCCCAACCCCTTTGCCATGCCTAATGAAACCAACAATAAAAATGACCATTTTAATAAGTTTTCTAAAATTCACAAGCCAAATTTAGGAAAAAACGCAAATTTAAAACGAAAAATGAACTTCAATATATGGTTAATATTGGAAGACTATCTCAACAAGGTCCTATGGTCTAGTGGTTAGGACATTGGACTCTGAATCCAGTAACCCGAGTTCAAATCTCGGTAGGACCTGTTATATTTTTTCCCGTATGTTACGGTTTTGGTCCCTTTAATTTGACCGACATCTTAATCTTGGTACCTAAACTTGATTTATTACACAAAAGGGCCTGTCATTTGCACTTTATCACGGTTTTGGTCCTTGAACCAAACGGCCACCTACCATCGTCGTTAAACTCGAGTTTATTTTGGTCTTTGTGCCATTTTCCTCTGAGTTTATTTACTATATATATACACGCGCACACACACACACATATACATATATTGGTTTAGTTTAATTGGACGATTATAGTTATATAAATTCAATCACTCAAATGAAAATGCGGTCTCTCAAATCGTTCTAGATTTCAGTCGTTGTTTTCGAGGAATATAACACTCACTGAAATATCTTGTCAAACAGAATTCAAAATTCAAGTGATGACCAGGTCAATTTTTTAAAGTATATATGACAAATAAAATAAATAAATTCACACACCCTCCTCAGCTTTTGTGAGATTTGAACCATTGATCTCCTGAGAGACCAATAACTCACATACCTCTGGGCCAAAGGCCCTTTGGACCTTTGGTAACCAGGTCATTGTTACGAGTCCAAGCATTCAACTTAGTTGTGTCAGATGCATTCAGTTTACTTATCAATCCATTAACTAAACCAATCTTGTTTTTTTTACTGACAGTGCTCTTGTCATTTCACGAATCCATGATTAGTAATTGCCACCAATTCCATATTTGGTTTGAAATAATTATTGGATTTGAAATGCTATGATTTCATTGAAATCCCACGTAATTGGATTTCGTAAAATTTGTGTATGATAATATCAAAATATATGTTGAAACATTTATTTTATAATAATCAATTTATAATAAGATAATGTAATTATCTTCATAACTTATTTAAAAATGGAATTCAATTAAGTTCCAAAATCTACAAACCGTAAACACAAAAATATTCCAAATTATTTCAAATACAAATCCCTTTAATTCCATGAAATACGAATCCTTTGAAATCATTTGATCAAATCAAATGTTTTGTGGTTAAATCCCCTCAAATTCCATTTTGAATTCCGGTTAGAATCCTTTAGGGTACGTTTAGGTGGTGTTTGTTTTTTTAAACATCTCATATTTTACCACTTATGTCTGATTCGGTCAGACATAAAGCAATTCAGACCGTTTGTTTTTTTTTTTTTTTTTTTAGAGTCACTTATCCCTTATTTTCCTCTTAAAAGTTAAGTGATAGTCTAGTCACTTATTTTCCTCTTAATTCTGAAAATTATCCAGGGAACCGATTTCTACTTCATCATTCGATCGACTTCACCCTCCTCATCGTCTCAATCGATCGAATTCAACCTCCATCGCCTCTGGTAGCTTCAAATCGACCCAAATCATATCCAAATCAAGAGGGTTTTTTCCTTGTGGGTTTTCGCCACTGTGTGTTTTCGTTCCTGTGCAAACCAGTAGTTGTGCACCTTTATCCTCGTGAATGAAGGTATTTTCATCCCTGTAGTTTTCGTCACTGTAGTTTTCATCATGATGGATATTTGCTTCGATTTTAGAGGTGGATTTGTACGTTGGATTTTAGAGGAGTGGTGGTCGACGGTGGTTGATGGTGGTGGGATGAGGGTAGAGATTGAAGATGGAAGACTTGATCTGGAGGAGAAGGAAAAATTAAAGGAATCTTTGGAGCACAAATAGAGGTGAAATCAGAAATTATACATATTGATATGTTTTGTTGGTTATAAAAGCAAACTATTGATTCAGACTTCAGACGTTTGTCAGTTTACAAAAACAAACAGTTTGACTGATTTATATTTCAGACTTCAGCACCACCTCTTAAAAATCAAAAGTGAAATCAAACTTCAGACTTCAGCACCTCTTAAAAACAAACGCTACCTTAGTTTGATGGAATAGTTTCGAGGGATTTGGATTTCGTGGAATGATTTGGAATTGTAGGAATTTGGATATTAAAGGATTTTAAAATATTTGATGTGTTTGGTTTGTAGGAGTTGGAATGAAACTGGATCATATTATTTTTAAATAATTTATAAAAAAATTATTAAAATAAATAAATTATCTTTTCATTAATTGATTATATGGGGGTGTTTCAGATTGCTTATAAAAACAATTTATTGACTTATTCCGGTGTAGTGCAAGTAATAAACACTTTTAAGTGTTTGGATAAACAGTTTATACCGGTGCCAAATCGGTAAGAATGAGTTTTTAAAGAAGTTAAACCATTCTAACTTGTAATAAGTTGATAAAGACCTTTGTAGAAAATCATAAATTGTTTCAAATAAGTAATCTCGTGAAATTCCAACTAACTCTTGTGAGATTTTAAAATTATATGTTCGCAGGATTTAAAAAATCTTAGGATTCAAATATGAATAAATCTTGTAAACCAAATAGGAGATTGAAATTAGTAGATTCCATTTCAAATTCTTTCGAATCAAATTTCTTCGTGACATGGGTTTGGCTTCATGCCTTGACCCGTTTGAGGTTAGGTGTAAGGTGTTAACCGAAGTGCGAACCCCCTGACTGTGACCAGCTAAGCAAGTAGTCTATTTCTTTTAGCGGCATTTGAACGAACACCTAGACGGCAAGCAATGACACCATTCAAGCAGACAGCAAAATCATCGTCTCCATAGAATGTCCGTATCTCTACTGAATTTCGGGCACCAATATCTCAAAAACAAGCCCATCCAGTGTTTCAGGACTAGATTTTCATACCCTATCAATATCCGACTCCGAAGTTCACCCGCCAAATTCAAAATTGCAAGCAGCTGCTGCTACACTTTCGATTCGGCATCTCTAAGCGAGCCTTCAATTCCAGAGGATAGGCTCCATGGTAGGAAACATAATTCGTCACCCAATATTGAGAAATGGGTTGATTTTGTACCTGGAGGTAGTTGGTGGAGCTTAGAGGATGAGGATGAAGCTGGTAAGGTGAAAGCAACCAATCCGATTACCGTTTGGTATGTTCTCCGTCGAATGTGGGAACTGGTGTCCGATGACAAATTGGTTATGTACATTGGATTCGGTTCTTTAACTTTTGCTGCGGTATGCCTGTTTGTCTATATCAACAGTTATTGGATATTTTTATCCTCCCTTCTATATTGATTTTCTGATTTTGAAACCTGTGTTCTTCCGAGTTCTGGGTTTTTGGCAGTGAGCTGCCAAATAATTACTAAATTGCTATAGTTTATGGTTATTGAGGACCATTTCGGGATTAAGTCGTTTAACAGATGAACTTGTTTGCAATTGATTGTTGATTTTGGAATGCAGCTCGTAGAGATATCAATACCAAACTTATTGACAGCATCTATCTTCGCAGCACAGAATGGGGAAGCATTAGTGTTCTACAAAAACTTGAAGCTCTTGACGTTTATGTGTTTTGCTTCGGGAATATGCAGGTAAGAACCAACAATAGGGATTTTTTTTATCGGTGGATATGTAGAGTATATGCATTCTACAGGGCCGTCATCTTTCTTCTTGTCAGTGATTTTAGTGGCATCTACCATCTGGTGTAATTGAAATTTACATGAGATGAGGGTTTTGGTTAAGCTATAATACAAGTTAGGAGGTGTGGAGACCATGCTTGTATAATCCAACTTGAACCCGGGATCACCTAATGACAGAGGGTCAAGGGGGCTCACCCCCTTGCGGGGTCCAGGGGAAGCACCCCGAGGCCTAAATGGTATGCATCAGAAACTGACACTAAGCTATTGCCCTTCATTGTTGACTCTCAGCGCCTTGGTGTGTTAGCTGATCAGTGAGGCACTCCCCGAACTTAACAAGATCTCGGTGTTTTCGCTCTCATTTTTAGAGTGCGTTTTTTGGATTATCCCAAAGTAAACTTCGTGAAACCCATGACATTCATGGGGTCGAAATATTACTTCTGGAAAGTGTATTGCACACCCATTAAAATCGATCCAAGTTTAATTTGATTGATACATCACGACACTAAATTTCTAAACCCTTGTCAACAAGAGAGCTAAAGACATTCAATCGATGAATGAATAGTGCATAGATAAACAAAATTTCCTCCCTGTTATGTACGTTATCAGCAATTGTTCAGCGCCGTTGTTCGTTTGGTATTTCACATATCTTCTCATGCAGTCATGCTAGAGCCTCAATGGCTGAACATTGACCTGGACATATACAAATTTTACATCCGCATACAAATTACATTCGACATAAACTCTACATGGAAGATTCATAACCGAAAAACTATTCTTGTGGGATATCTGAAGTGCTTCCCATCATGATTGAGGACGTGCTAAGCATACCTCATTTGCCAGTAAGGCAGTAACTTATGTTTCTGTGAAAAAGAATATATATATATATATATATATATATAGAGAGAGAGAGAGAGAGAGAGAGAGAGAGAGAGAAAGATGGAAGTATTTTCAGCCCTTCATTTGCCAGTTTAACTTTGAAGTTCTAGATACTAACTAAGTTTGCTTCTTGTGGATTGCAGCGGATTACGAAGTGGTTGTTTTGGAATTGCAAATGTGGTCCTGGTAAGTGAGTCTTTCTTGGAAGTTGGAACTTTAAGGCTTATGTATTCTGTCCGTAACTTGACTATTTGAAGACAAGTAGTTTATAAAAACATTTTCTATGTTGGTACGCGTTTGATATCATACACATGTTGATACATTAGGCCATGCCAAACATTGGTGGTTGCCACAATTGCCTTTTCTTGTTTTTATCTTATAGCAAGTTGGTTCAGATGTGTAATTTTGCTTTTGGATTAGGTTCCTTCATTCATTATTTTATGAACATGTGACCTCTGTAAAGATGCCACAAGTGTTTGTGTTTGGGTTTTGCCAGCATGTACCGCAAATATATTTTTTTGATATCTCAGACCTGCTAACTGATAAGTATATCTAAAATCTCCATTTGTGTGATCTCTGTAAAGATTGATCAATCTTTCTTGTTACAGAGACAAAATTTTCTTCTAGAGGAAGTAGTATCTGTCCTCTGGACTAAGGCTTTAGTTCATATTCTAATATCACTCACCCACTAATTGGCACTTCATTGATTTCGCAGCTCAAGCGGCTAAGGGAAACTTTGTACGCAAATCTATTGTTTCAGGTGCTGTCTGTTTTAGCAATCATATATATATATTGGAGTCTGAATTTACTGTAGCGTGTTATGTATTTAACTATTTATATACATTTGTGTTATGTATATTTGACTAGTCCTTACTTTCAGGATATATCCTTCTTTGATAGAGAATCGGTTGGGAATTTGACCAGCAGGCTTGGGGCAGATTGTCAAAAATTGTCACATATAATTGGAAACAATTTACATTTGATAGCACGGAACTCTCTTCAGGTTGATACCTTTGTCAACATCCATTTTGCCACTTATAAGCTCAATTATTCTTGCTGCAATTTGGATTTGAAAGTAAAATTTGCAGGGGACAGGAGCGCTGATTAATCTGCTGACATTAAGTTGGCCTCTTGCATTGTCGGCTTGCTTTATATGCACTCTTCTGTGCATGATCTTTCTGGTTTATGGGCGGTGAGCATCCAAGGTTTTCATTCTGAAAATCTACAGCCTGCCATCTAGATAAAAGGACTGGTGGTTTCATTATATGATTGATTTGTTAAGACGACATAAGCTAAGGCCCTAAGCCATCATAAGTTTGCTATTGTAATTTATAACCTAAGTCCCTAAGCCATCATGTTCTGGAAGTCATAGCTTTACTTCTCTTCAGGTATTGTGATAGACCCTTTTTATAGAAAAAAGTTGAATTGAAATTTATGGACCCAGCCCTCGATACAGAAATCAGATTTAGGGCCTGTTTGTTAGCAGCTTAATGAAACTCGATGCTTTTTCGGTCAGCTATACATGACTGTTTGGTAGTGGCTTAATGATATAGAAAGTGGCTTATTTAGTAGCTTTTAGGGGGGAGCTTTATGCAGAAAGCCAATTTTTTTTTCTAACCTGTCTCTTTCAATTAAAAAACATGTTTCTTCCATCTATGAAAAAACCGTCTCAAACAAAACCTTCACAATCTATACAGACAGATTAATACACACAGACAACTTTATGCCTTTATCCATTAAGGATTTAATGGAAACCAACCAAACATCCCCTTACATGTACTAGTTAAACAATACAGTTTCAGAACATGCATTCATCACAGTTGAAGAACAAGTTTTTATTTATTTATACATCTGGTTGCATTGTGGGATATAATATATATACATATGTATGTATGTATGTATAGGTGGAGGTTATATATATGTGTGTGTGTGTGTGTGTGTGTGTATATATATATATATGAAAACATCTCATTTACTTCATTTCGTACCATCCATTTATGGAATTTTATATTTACAAGACCAGATTTGGGCAATCTTATAAGGGTTTACTATCTTTTCTATCTGAAAGGTACCAGAAGAAAGCCGCAAAGCTTATTCAAGATTTCACTGCTCGTGCCAATGAAGTAAAGACTAAACTGATTCTTGCATTATTCTCCGAGCATGTAATAATACTTATGAACTCCTGTTAACTTACCTGACCATGACTATACCTCCCCCCCCCCTTTCAAAATTTCAGGTTTCTGAAGAAACTATTTCGTTGGTGAGAACAGTCCGGGTTAATGGAACTGAAACCAAAGAACATGAAAGGCAAATATGTTTCTCCGTAAATCTTTTTTTAGCTATTTATATTTCGCAAAATCATTTATATTTAACCAACTAGTTTGGGATAAAAGGCTTATTGGTGTTGTTCCTTTCACTTTGATATACTATACTCAAGGTACATTAATGTCATAAAAGTTCTCACCCGTAAATGTTAATTATGTAGCATATACTTTATGCTTGTAGGTATAAGCAATGGCTGGATAAATTGGCCATCACAAGCGTGCGAGAAAGTGCTGCCTATGGACTATGGAATTTGAGTTTCAGCACTCTCTATCGTTCGACACAGGTTCATTGATCCTTAATTCTTGTGAAGCCATTTTTTACTAATGTAATCAATTTCAATGTAATGGTCCTGTAGTATAGCAGGGTTCGTGAGTTTGTAGGGGTGGGAATCTATAGCTAGCGTAGACGGGAGTTGGAGAAATCGTGGGGGTTGGGATCCGTGAGTTGGCAGCTAGGTTGCATTTGGTATACAGACAGGATAGTATAGGACATATCATGACAAGCTGTTCAATGTTTGGTAAGACGGGACATAACAAAATAATTAAAATGACGAATTAACCTTAATGAGTTGTTTATATATTTATGTATTTTGATTAATTTATGTAATTTATTAAATTATAGTAAAGCAAATATTTTTTTTAACAAAATATATCATTAGAAAGTTTTTGTCAAGACAATCAAAATGACACCAAAATGAAAAGTTCATAGTTTTCTATTTTTATTTTATACCTTTTGTATATTATTTTTTATTACTAATATTTAATAAATTGCATGAACTGATCAAACTATAGAAATCGTATCAAATAATATTTTGAGGACAGTAAAGTGAAAGTTTAAAGAGCATAAAATACAATAAATAAAATTTAAAGAAATGAATAAAATGTAAAGAGGGAGGCTTTTTTGATGTTTTAGAAGAGAATTAGGTTTTATTTTGAGGTTATATTGGTAAAATATAGGTTTGTTCCACCTTGTTCCATGGAGCGGGGGTGGAACACACCTGTTCCCCTCTGTTCCACATAAAAATCCTGCCAAACATGGAGCAATTATCCCTGTTCTCTCCTGCTAATTACTCGTTTTGCAGTTTAGCTTTCTTTGCACACTTTTCACTTCTGCACAAGCTGAGGTCTTCACGGAAATAGCCGCTCTACTCTTTGTGATACATCTCCCCCTCTCGGACCCTACCACTGGGTGGGATATACTGAGCTAGTTTTGGCTATGTGGTATAGCATGATAGATGGTAACATGGAGCTTAAATTGATCTGTTCAACTAAAATTATAGGTTTTCGCAATCATACTGGGAGGAATGTCTATCCTGACGGGTCATGCATCGGCTGAGCAACTTACTAAGTATGTATTGTACTGTGAGTGGTTGATATATGCAGCTTGGAGGTTGGCAGACAATTTTTCATCATTGCTTCAGTCTGTTGGAGCAAGTGAAAAGGTGTTTCAGCTAATTGATGTCTTGCCTAGTGATCAATTTTCAGCAAAAGGCATGGAATCTATATATTTTAATTTGACAAGCTCTTTTCTTCATATTCCTTTTCTTTTAAGATGAAAAGAGCTCTTTGCTTAGGGCCCGTTTGTTAGCGGCTTAATGAGCTTAATGAGACTCACAACTTATTCTGTTAGATGCACATGACCATTTGGTAGTGGCTTAATGGTATAGAAAGTGACTTATTCAGTAAGCTTTTAGGAGGGAGTGTTATGCAGAAAGCGAAGTTTTTTTGAAACATGCCCCTCCCAATTAAAACACGCTCATTCCATCTTAAAGCCCTCCCAAACAAAAACCTTTCGAATCTATAAAGACAGATTAATCCACACAGATAGCTTTATCCTTACAGGACTTAATGGAAAACCAACCAAACAGCCGTTGACTATCCATCTGAATGGTAGTTTTCAGAGGTTAACCTACTGCTGATGAAATACAAGTGAAAGAAAGGCCTTCAAGTTGATAGTTTCAGTTGTTTGAGATCTACTGTATTATAAAAACTTTTTCTACCCGTCTCTCGTTTTAGCTCTAATGGGAATTTTCATTCTGTACAGGAGTGAAGTTGCAGAGACTAACGGGGAAATTCGAGTTCATAAATGTGTCCTTTCATTACCCTTCACGAATGACGGTACTTTCACAGTTTCACTTACCCTTTAAAACATACAGTAGGCAGTAGCATTACAAACAGTGCTCCTTTAGTTTGTTGCACAGTATCTCATGTCCAATCGTCTGACGAAGGCTCCTGAGTGATGCGGGCCTAGGTGTGGAGGACTGGCCTTATTAAGCCTTATTGTTCCTGGAGGCCCGTGACCAGCCCAACAGGGGGCATCACGCTTAAACATGTATAACTCTTGCTTAGGGTCTCCATTTCGGCCCACGATACACCGATTCAAAGCTTGGAACAAGGAGCACGTTTTGAGACACTTTTATGTTTTTTGCTGTATTTTTCATTTGAGCTTTAAAGTTTGGCTCATCTTTTCTAGGCCTGTTTTATGCTTGGGACTCTTATTTACTTGTTGGTTATATATTGATGGATGGTCAATCGACCAATACATAAAATCTCCATTTCCATCCAAACTCTGAGTTCACCTTGAGTTCGAGTTTGAGCCTAAGGTTTGGTATTCGTTGAATCAACGAGCTTTAGAAGAGATTATTCCTGGGTATTCTCATAATCAACGGGATTAATCTTTCGTTCGGTTATCGTTCGCTGCATCACTTAGCCAGGGCTCACCTATTCTACAAGTCTTCCTAAATTGATAGCTTTATGTTACACTAAAAATAATTTGCAAAAGGAAGGCAACCACATGGTCATTATCAGTTTATGGAGAAAGATAACATCTATTTTGATATAATTGACCTCATTGCATCTCTACTTCCTTTTTCCATTTGTTGCTACCTTAAAGGTCTAAACTGTTTCATATTTTTCTTTTGTGTTTTAAAGGAAACTACTGACCTCTTTGTCCATTCCTACAGATGCCCACTCTAGAAGAAGTTAACATCTCTGTAGAAGCTAATGAAGTGACAGCGATTGTGAGAAATTTCATTCTCAACATCTTCCCCCTTACGGATGGTGCAACATTAACAACATTGATTTTTGTTTCTTCAGGTTGGTCTCAGTGGTAGTGGGAAAAGCACATTAGTCCATCTCTTACTTGGTCTTTATGAGCCAACCCATGGGGAGGTATACTACATGTGTCCTTTGGAGTACCGTATTAATTTTATGTCTCATCAACAAAATACATTTTTCTCTTTATTTGTATGTACCTCCTTATACCTTGAAGCAAATAGACAAGTATAATATATATATATGTATATATATATATATAGAGAGAGAGAGAGAGAGAGAGAGAGAGTCGGGTTCAAACGAGAACGGTACCTATTTAAGGGAACAAGAAAACGGTCGAATCACATGTGATTTTACACTAACATCATGTAGAAAATTCCATGTGATTCACGTGACTTTGCCCCGCGATCAAAGTTTCCCATGGGTATAATGGGCCTATGGGCCATAATGGCAGTAAATTAGTCATAATGAGTCTAATAGCACCTTTTTTGACTGTTAATGTAAAATCACATGCGATTTTGCACAAGATTGGGCCGTTTTCTTAAATAGTTAGCATTCTCTTTTGATCCTGCCTAATATATATATATATACACACACACACACACACATACATACATACATAGAGAGAGGGGGGGGGGCATAGCGTCTAGATGAATGGTTATCGGGATGTTTCTCAGTTTTCCATTTTTTTGTGGTTTTCCATTGAACTTGACCCTATATATATGTGTGTGTCATGGCATAATTTTTAATTAATTGATTACCATACAGCCATACTAGCTTCCAATCCATTAGTTAATTGGAAGTTAGTATGGTAATCAATTAATTAAAAAGTATAATAATTACACATTTTTTAAGTCGTGCCTTTTTCATTGTGGATATTTATTTTGAGATTGCGGGATTATAAAAGCTGCACTTAGTTGCAGATATTAATCGATGGTCATCCACTTAAAGACTTGAACATCAGATGGCTGAGACAGAATATTGGATATGTTGGGCAGGTTTGGAAAGCCTCTTTTACTGTAAATCCATTTTCTTAAGGTAAAAGCGCCATGATGAAGCTTTTTGGAGAGCTTCTTGACCACGTAAGATAAAGAAAAAGTTTCTGATATAGTAAACCCACTTTTTGCTTATAATTGCACAAGCTCTCAATAAACTCGATTTATTTGGCCGCCTAGGCTTGTGGGTCCCACACTCTTTTGGAAAAAGCTCGAATAAAAAGCTTACAATTGTGGATGCTCGATCAGCCAAGCCCGAAGCAACCATATTTTACCGACTTGCAATTCATGCAATGAAAATTATATATTTGTCCCCAATTTGGTCGTTCTAGACTATGGAAGAAGCTTTTATAGATTTGTATTGCAGGAACCACATCTATTCCGGATGGATATAAAGTCGAATATAAGCTATGGATGTTCAAGGGACATGGAGCAAGAAGATGTAGAATGGGCTGCGAAACAAGCATATGCTCATGAATTCATTTGCTCCCTTCCTGATGGCTATGAAACAATAGTTGATGATGAGCTTCTAAGTGGGGGCCAAAAGCAAAGAATTGCAATTGCTAGAGCCATTATTAGGGACCCTCGCATTCTGATCCTTGATGAACCCACCAGTGCTTTGGATGCAGAAAGTGAATACTACATTCAGGTTAGTTGTGTTGATTTGATTTCTTAGATATGTTTGGCAAGCTAGCAATAAGCTAGCTGTTGGCTGAAAAGCTAGTTGTTAGCTGAAAAACTAGCTGTTGGCTTATAAGCTAGGTTATAAACTAGTAATGTTTGGTAAAAACTAATTGATAAGCTTAGATGACAAAGTAAAATGGTTTATCAGGATATGTTGAAAATTAACGAGAAGAATTTAAAAGGGACATATCTGAAAGGAAGTGGAAAAAGCTCCTAAAGCTTATGTGAATGCTACTTGAAATAGCTTTTCAAAAAGTTAGCTTATAATTTAGCTTGTGGCTAACTGAAAGGCGTTTTTCCAATAAGCTTAAAAAATAAGTGAGCTTAGGATCCGTTTGGATTGCGGGATTTGGAATTGTATTCCATTCCAATCCCGTGTTTGGAAGGAAAGTCCGGGATTGAAATCCCTCCCGGATTTAGAAATTCCATAGAGGTAGTTGGGTCTTCCACAGGATTTCATAGGATTTGTTTGTAACAATGTTTTGAAACATGTTACAATCATTCGTTTTGTGATGATCAATTAATAAAAGGTAATTTATTCATTTTGTAAAGATATATATTTTGTTTTTATAAATGATCTATAAAGAATGGAATTCAACTCCGTTCCGAATCCTACAAAGCCAGACACACCAAAGGCTCCAAATTCTTCTAACTCCAAATCCTTCCATGAAATTCAAATCCCTAAAAACATCTTGTGAAACCATACTCCCTCTTAATGCATTTAAGGTCGGGTTTTCCTCTACTTTTGACCAGTCAAAATGCCACATTTTCCCGTAGTGATGTGAAAATGGATCCCAAGAGTGTTCCCACAAGAGATGGGTGTCTTTAGACTTCTAAGCAATTGTCAAATATTTTGCATTGCAACTATGATCAATAACTTGTCATTTCCTATATAGGAATTGATGGTTAGGTTAAAAACCGAAACGAAGGCGAAAAGATCAATCCTTTTCATAGCACACAGGTTGGTTTGAAGTTTGTTTTATGTACGTAGCCTGGCGATTTGTGACTTTAATGGTGAATCCATTTGCAGGCTATCAACAGCAAGAGCTGCTGACAGAATCGTTGTCATGGATGGTGGCCGAATTGTGGAGGTATGATGTTTTTATTTTAAGAGAACATGTGGAACGAGCTACTCAAGCTCGAGCTTGATAATTATTGAGCTCAAAATAAAGCTCGCTTAACATAATGAGTTGAGCTCCATAACAGACTCGTTTGAAAGCTCAATTAAACTTTACGAGTCGAGATCATGAAACACATATATAATGATCAAACACTATACTGCACTTTCAATGATTGCTAAAACAATAATGGTTCCAGCAGATGGGAGATCATGAAAAGCTTTTGCAGCAGAACGGATTGTATGCACGATTACATCTACTTCAAATGGAAGGTCTTTAGATTCACCACGTTCGTCTTCGTGATTTTGCTTTGCCATCGAAATCAAAGAACTCCATGTTAGAAATAGGATTGCAGAAGGAGAATAAGTGCAGTAAATCAAAACGTTAGAATCACTCTAGCAAGATTGTTTGGGTTTTTTAGGCTATGAATATATGCAGAATTGTTATCGAGGAGAATTAAGAGGATTAAGAGAGTGAGTGTGTGTGATGAAATATTCACATATATAAATAGGTTTATGTTAACAACCGATTGTGGATCAAAAGTAGCCGACATTTGGCTTTATCCAAATCAGAAAATCATGGAAAAAGGTGGTCCAAAGGGCTACCCGTGAGTTTCCAAGTGAGTTAAACTCACGTAGAAACTAGGGTGAGACTGTTTCCAAACATAAAAATCTGATTTTTTTGTAATCTGCTAGTGCTATCTTTTGACCATTTGATATATGTGTAAAATTCACACAACAAGACCGAACCATCCTTAACTAACTTGATCTCTTAAACTAAGGTCTTGTTTTTTTTTTCCTTTTTTCAGCTCTTAATTACCATTTATGTATGATTTGTTCAGATGTTTTGTAATTCAGATTGTTTTTTTCAGATTCTTTTATCACTTAATAAGATCTGAATAACTAAGAGGTAAACTAATATATTAATTATTCTTATTTCCCCTTTTCTTTGATTCCATTTAGTTATTGTTTCTTTTTTCATTAGGGACGCCACCGTTCTTTCATCATCCATGTGAAATGCATGCATCCACCTTTTCTCTCTCTCTCTCTCTCTATATATATATATGTATATATATATATATATATAATTTCTTTACGTATAGGCTAGCTTAAAAGATTAATGTGAAACAAGAACTTCTATCGACGATCTATCATCTATCAAAAGTATGTATCTTTCCACAAACAAACTTACCGGCTACATTCCTGATAGCATTGGAAGTTTGAAAGGTATGCAAAAGGTTCTTACTATGTTTCATCTGTTAAGCAATTGTTGGGATAGATTTTAACAATTTAAAAAAATCAAAGAGAATTTTACAAAATATTTGCACTTAATTTTACAAAAACAAACTATTGATTCAGTTTTTTAGACTTCAAAAGTTTGTTATTTAAAAAAAAACAGTCTTACTCATTCAATTAACACCTCTTAAAAAACAAATTGATCACTAATTTTACAAGTTGTTTAAAGATTATAAACTAAAAGAATTTATCACTTGATATATCTCAACACACATACATATATATATATATATATATATATCGCTATCAACATAAGTAAGATTCCTGATTTTCCTCGTAATGAATCCCACTAGGAAGAATATATATGTACAACACTCCAAACATGCATGTGTTCTCTTATTTATATTCTCCTCAAAATTTCCTACAAGAAAATACAAATTGATACATACTTAATCAGTATTGATTCTTTTGAATCAAAAATCCTACAACTACATCCATCACGATATAGAATTCATCTAAAGTTGCTCAAGAGCTTCAGTTGAGAAATCTTCCGGCTGTGGAACCTGTTTATGAGGCAGCGGCCGTGGCGGATTCCGATCTTCCTCCTTTTCTGGTTTCTTAATCTTCATCTCATTATTCGTCTGCTTGCTTTGATCATCATCACTTGATTGATGAAATTGAGTCCTTGTCGTCGATGATTCAGGTCCACATGCCTCATCATTTTCTGGTTTCCTAATCTTCATCTCATCATTTGTGTGCTTGATTTGAGTATCATCGCTTGATTGACGAAATTGATTCGACGATGATCGAGGTCCAGATCCGATCTCCTTCTTCGCTTGATCTTCTTTGATGGCTTTGTTTTGAAGGATGCTTTCATCAACGTGGAATTTTGTTTTGAGTTCTTGCCATGGAAGGTCTTTAGGATATTCGTCTTCCATCGCACCGTCGTCGATTGCCATGGACGGCCGCTGTATATGAAGCTTTTCTCTGTGCTGATAAATCTGAAGACGTGTTTGCTTTAGATGGAGCCACCTGCATCCATATGACATGAAATGATTCACGCTTACGACTTTACACTTTTTGAAATTGATAATTTCAAAATACTTATGTTTTTTTTTAAAATATTTATTAATTTATTATAAATTATAAGAGTTTAACTTCTTAAAAAAAAAATTATTATCGATTTGACATCGATATAAATTGTTTATCAAAACACTCAAAATCATTTATTATCGATATCACACTGGAATAAATCAATAATTTGTTTTTATAAATAATCCTAGACAAACGTTGTTAGAGTAAATTAAGATTTTAGTCTCTATGATTTAGAAATTGTAGTTTTAGTCCCTATAATTTATAATTTATTACTATTTTCATCCATATAACTTATTGTTGTTTTGATCCTTTTGGTTTACAACTGTTTTGGTCCTTCCTACTTAAAGGTTCAGATTTAGGAATTAATATAGGAAAAATAGCAAACTATAGAGACAAAAAACATAATTTCTAAATTAGAGGACTGAAAATCGAAATTATCAAAAAAGCACATCTACGAAAATTATAAATTATTTTTTTTATTAATTTGGATATCCAATCTATTATGGATAGTAAATTATGATATATAAAATTATTTTTATGTATATGTTAAGGTATTTAAAGAAGGAAATTCAAAAAAATATTTGAAAAAGAAATATGTTTTTTAAATTTGAAAATTTCAAAGTGTTTTCACAAAATAAAAAACCATAAACAAACTATGTTTTGTTGTAATGTTTTTTTTTTATTACGATTGCTTTTCAAGGGTTTTTGACCCAGTAATATCGTAGCATTTAGTTTTTAGAAGGTTATGGGTTTAAACCTCATTAAAAATGAAAAAAATATGTTAATTTATTTGTTATATTCGTCGTATATGAATATTATATATTAAAAAAATCAAACTTACAACTATTGTTTTGTTAGACATTAGAAACTGTTCTTTTATAGTGATCTTTTCAGTATTAAAATATTAATATTTATGTTTCAATCAATTTAGAGGTGTTTAATGTGTTTTTAGTAAATTATTTAATTATTATATATATATATATATATATTAAAGTTTCATTTTTGAATTGGTATAACTAATTGCAAATAAACATAATCAAATATAAAATAAATATTTCATTTTAAATATAAAAAATCTAAAATATGATTAGGATAAATCATAACAGAATCATGATCTTTATAACAATTATATTGTTAAGTCAAAAATAAATCATTTTTCTATTTGACCTAACTTAAATTATAATAAATAATTGAATTAAAGAAATTGTATAAAAAAACGAGAACTTTTAAATAGTTAATTTGATATTAATATCGATATAATTTTTCAACTTTTTATAATGTCTTCAAATTTATTTTATTCAAGAGTAAAACATTATCTTTCTTAAAACTACATAAACCGTATTATATCAACAAAAATAAAAAATAAAACAAAACATTAAAACGAAGATTTATCTTGTTTCGTTGCACGAAAACATTTCTAATAAATTTAAAAGATAAGCTCAATTTATTGGTTTATTGACCTAAAACTCTAAAGTCCACGTTACAGGTCCATTGGGCTGGTTCGTGAACTAAAAACTCACGGCCCATTTCTATCCACGCGTTCCGTTAAATCATCACAAACCAAACCGTTCCATCTGACCCTTCAAGGCTGCTGCGACGATTGTAAGTCAAGTTCCTCTGTCTCTTTACTGCACAATCTTCACCATACTTGAAATTGCTGATTCTCAGTTAAGAAGCCTGATTGCTACATTTCTTGGTGTATGGTACGAGTTACTTTCCCTTTTTGATTGTTCATTTCTGTCGTTGTTTGTTTGATTTTTCACTGATTAGCTGTCTCTACGGATTTGGATACATGATTGATTGATTTCTCCCTTGTATTGAGTTTGCTTAGATCCAATTTAATTGAGTTGTTATGGTAATTCAATTTGGATGTGGTTATATTTTTCTGATCTGCGAAAGTTGGATGAATTGAAGTAAAGGAATAGAGATTTGTGGAAACCCTAGATTTCTGGGTGAGAGTTAACTGGATCACTAAATGTGCCTTTTATTTTATTCAGCGTATTCATTTCACGTTTGGTGTTTTGTTATTCTCTCTATGCACTCATGGATGTAATTTGTGTTGTGTCTATTCTTTTTGGCTGTCTTATTTTGTGAAATTTTAGATGATGTTGCCTGTAATCTTGGACTTTTGAAGACGTTCAATTGTAAGTTAATTTGGACCTAACCAATCAATTTTTTAAAATTTGTTTGGGAGATTGGGAGTTCACTTAAAAGGAATGCAATGTGACATTATAGATATAGGGGTTATGTTATGTCACTAGTTTGCTCATGGACAGGATCTGAGTTAAACATTTAAGTGATATGGTATCTGTCTTGATGATGGTAATTAGTAATTTCAAGAACATTTAAGATAAGATGTTTGATGTTATGTATCTGATATACTGGTTGTTCTAGTATATTAACTGTTCTGGTAGTCAGTTTTAAGATAAGAAAAGAAAAACCGATGATTGGTTGAGTCAAAATTAACTTACTTTAGAACGTCTTCAACAGTCTAAGATTACAGGTAATATCATTCAAAAATCTTAACAAAATAAGTCAACCAAAAAGAATAGACATAAATATATCCAAAAGTGCATAGAGAGAAATCGAGAATAACAGAACACCATATATGAAATGAATATGCTGGATAAGAAAAAAGACACATTTAGTGACCCAGTTAACCCTTGTGTATCCACTAACCACCCAGGGGCCTGGTAATCTTTTTATTTATTTATACATGTAAGGTTTTACCAAAACTGTACCTAAGTCCTCACATTTAGGTAATGTGTATATTTGATGCAATTGATTCAAAGCAGGGAGATCATGAGAAAATTCATGCTTTTATTTCATTAAACCGATGTTTAAAAACCACCTATCATTCTGTTACTTCTCTATAATGTTTTAGAAGTAGGTTGCTTTAAACTTAACGTATAACAGTACAAGTGTTGGGCACTGGATTAATTTTTCCATAAACGTTACTCTGCAACTTTGTGTTAGGCACCCATGAAGGGCATTCTTTCTCTGCAAAGGGCGGCTTTGTTCAGGCGCCAATATGGGAATTGGGGAGTCGGTGCTAGATTGTTTAGCACTCAATCTGCAACCACCGCTAACACCGCACAGCCTCCTCCAGAGAAAACTCACTTTGGTGGTTTAAAAGACGAAGATCGCATTTTTACCAATCTTTATGGTTTGCATGACCCGTTTCTCAAAGGTGCTATGAAACGTGGTGATTGGCATAGAACTAAAGATATAGTGATCAAGGGTGCGGATTGGATAGTAAACGAAATGAAAAAGTCTGGTCTTCGTGGACGTGGTGGTGCTGGATTTCCATCTGGTCTCAAATGGTCATTCATGCCTAAGGTTTCTGATGGTCGTCCATCGTATCTTGTTGTTAATGCCGATGAAAGTGAACCTGGAACCTGCAAAGATAGGGAAATTATGCGTAATGATCCACATAAACTATTGGAAGGATGCCTGATTGCTGGAGTCGGTATGCGGGCAACTGCTGCTTATATCTACATTAGAGGCGAATATGTTAACGAACGTCTTAACCTCGAGAAAGCCCGGAAGGAAGCCTATGCTGCGGGATTACTCGGTAAAAATGCTTGTGGTTCGGGATATGATTTTGATGTACACATCCACTTTGGTGCTGGTGCTTACATTTGTGGTGAAGAAACCGCCCTTTTGGAGAGTCTCGAGGGTAAGCAGGGAAAACCGAGATTGAAGCCCCCTTTCCCAGCCAATGCTGGTCTTTACGGTTGCCCTACAACCGTTACAAATGTTGAAACCGTAGCTGTATCACCGACCATTTTAAGGCGTGGCCCAGAATGGTTTTCTAGTTTCGGTAGAAAGAACAATTCCGGGACAAAACTATTTTGCATATCCGGTCATGTGAATAAGCCATGCACAGTCGAAGAGGAGATGAGTATACCATTGAAGGAGCTGCTAGAGCGGCACTGCGGCGGTGTTAGGGGCGGATGGGACAATCTACTGGCTGTAATTCCTGGCGGTTCATCTGTACCGTTGCTTCCAAAAAACGTATGTGAGGACGTGCTGATGGATTTCGATGCACTAAAAGCTGTTCAATCTGGGTTAGGGACTGCTGCTGTTATCGTGATGGATAAGTCGACTGATGTTGTTGATGCTATTGCTAGGCTTTCTTATTTCTATAAGCACGAGAGTTGTGGTCAGTGTACACCTTGCAGGGAGGGTACGGGATGGCTTTGGATGATCATGGAAAGGATGAAGGTTGGGAATGCAAAGTTGGAGGAAATTGATATGCTCCAAGAGGTAACGAAGCAGATTGAAGGACACACAATTTGTGCGTTGGGTGATGCCGCTGCGTGGCCGGTTCAAGGTCTTATCAGGCATTTCAGGCCGGAGCTCGAGAGGAGGATCAGGGAGCGGGCTGATAGAGAGTTGCTTCAAGCGGCTGCTTAAATCAGGTTTGCATTTGCAACATGTTTGTTTGTAACGTTTTGCAAGTTGCAATATATATATATATATATATATATATATATGTGTGTGTGTGTGTGTGTGTGTGTGTGTGCCAATAGGGTGGTTTAAATGAGAATGACAAAAAGGTTGAGAAATCAAGAATAAATATAAACGTCGGATGAGATGATCGAACTGATATGAATCAAAACAAATTGTACTAAAACTACGAGCATTTTATCCTCATTAATTTGACATCCTTGTCCGTTTTTCATCATTCTCACATCCTCGATATTTTTGCCATTCTCATTTGAATCTACCCCTATATACCAATTCCTTTTTACTTGGTGAAAAGAGGCACGATGTGTGGGAATATGTGGAATCCTAGTAGATTAATCTCTAAAAGAGTTCTTATAGAGATTTTTTTTGGGGGGGGGGGGGGGTTATTGCATATATACATGTTTGATGGCACGTGGCTGACTATGTGTGAACACTCCAACATGCCCCTCAAATGGAGGCTAGATGCCCCCCTAAGAAAGAGGCGAAAGAAAGAAGCAAAATAGTGTATTGATCCCCTAGGTGGTGCTAGACCCCGACTCTGGTACCATGTGAGAATAAACCCCATTAGATTACTATCCTAAGAGTTATGGTGAGAAAGTGAGAACAAAACCTTCATGTACAATCATTTACCTTTATTTACTTAATATTACCATCAAACTGAAACTTCACAAATTCATGCATGTGAAAGTGGTTAAATGCATGTAAAAGTTCATGAAAGCAACTTAAAAGTGAAGATAAAGGTCGATGAATGTAGTTGAAAGTAATTGAAGGTAGATGAATGTACTGAAAGTAGTTGAAAAATAGTCAAGTTAGATTAGAAAGTCAACTTATTCAAACGCTCATAAGTGTTTTCACCATTCTCACTATAACTCTTATTCTTATTTCTCACACGATCCCTCGTCCTTGGGAGGTTCCTACATATATACATGTTTGAAGGTTTGTGTCTAGTCGATACAGTCTTACATCTGCATGCCTCAAGTCATCGAGGCTTGATGTCCCCTAAGAACGAAGGTGAGAGACTGTGTCGAGTCCCTAGGTTGTGCTAGACCCCGACTCTGATATCATGTGAGAATATGTAAAACACCATTAGATTATTTAGAGTCGTATAGAGAAAGAGTAGGTTCCTTCTTTTTACAAATCCAATAATTCGTACAAATTCATAAACCAGTTTTCATGTGTTGTTTCATAACACTTGTGAAAATACAACGTATACAGTGTTGTTTCCTATTTGAAACGTTCATGACATTTTTATCCCCAATTTTCATGCATGAAACAACACATGTGAATGTGAATGCAATGTTTATACAAGGTTGTTTCCTATGTGACACAGTCATGAATGTCTCACATATGAAACAACACTGTATAAACATTGCATTATCACACATTCACATGTGTTGTTTCAAACATGAAAATTGGTTTATAAGTTTGTACAATTTATTGAGTTTGTAAATAATTATGCGTCTATATATATATATATATATATACATGTTTGATGGTCTATATCTACTTAAAAGGCAGGTATATTTGTTTTGTAGGTGTAAGTCTGTGGAATAAATATGCAGAAATACTCTGGACAGCTGGAGGAAAACGATTCTGAGCATCATGGTTAAATTTTTAAGGTCTGTATTGAACCAGGATGCGACTGAAATAGCATTCAGCCTTCTTGATGATTCAGATGTGGGTAACTTTTTGCTGTTTTGGTGTGATTAAGACATCTTATTGTTATATTATGGAACTTCACTGAACCACCACAAGTGTTTGGAAATAAGATGAACCCAATGTTGTAATGATACAAAAAGCTCTAATTTCATTCTTGTTATAACCATATCAAATATTGGTATTATTTTTATTTTTTATTTTTTTTTTAAATTACAAGGGGGGTTTTGATTTCTTTTTGAAGTTCACCACAAATATGTCCATCTTAACCACTTGGGTTATTCTGGAGATGAGTGAAAAATCTCATCTACCCTGAGTTCGAATTCAGACGCTGCTAGGACCCTAATGGTCATGCAGGTTTATCTACGATGACCCCACGCCATTCATGGGATTGGTCAACTGGCTCAGAAAATCATGATTAACCAAAATATATGTGGTCATCTTTTATCATGTTTCTTTTAACTTGTATTTTTATCCTTTTTATGCTCAATAGTATTGCCTTATTGCTACTAAGACTAATACTCCTTATGTTTCAAATGTAGGTTCTGTTTGTTTTTTTTTTTCAAAATTACCTCTTAATACCTCTAAAGTCTGATTCATTCAGATGTTTGAGTATTAAGAGCTTTTGTTTTATTTCTAAAACAAGAGCTTAAAAGCTTTAAATGTTCTCTAAAATTTTAAATGGTAAACGTATCTCTTAATACGTCTTAATTCTAATCCGTTCTCTATCAAATGGTTCATATTTTTGGGAGCTGGAAAAGATTTGTTAGTAAAAACTATTTATCTTTTATACTTTTGTAAAAACTATTTCTCTTATATATTTTTGCACTAATTTGACTCTTTCAGATTTCAGACGTAAAAACTAACAATCTTATTGATCTAGATTTCAGATTTTAGGACCATTTCTTATAAATCAAAAGTGAAATCAAATTTCAACATTTCATAAAAAAACAAATGCCACCTTAGTGTCTATAATAAGTGCTACTTTTAAAATTGGTTACTTTTCAATTTTATCCGTAATTATAAGATTGGGAAATCTGTTACTTTTTTTATTATTATTAAGTGTAAATTTATCATTTAGTTAATTCAAAATTATAATAATTACATATTTTTAAATCTATATGGTTTTTTTTTTATTTTGGAAATTTATATTTAAGATGAAGGGAGTACTATTTTTACTCTATCCATCTTTTTAGTATTCACTAAAACAACTACACGTGTTCGGGTTGGTTTGGGGTGATGATCAGGTCTGCATACTTCTCGCCTTCCCTATATCCACACCACACATTCAGATGAGATATATTTAGGGGTTGTTTACCATATTCTTATCGGATAAGTGTTTGTCATATGTCACTTACCTTACCGAGTAAACTTGAAAATGACCAAGAATCTTGGCCACTAAGCAGCATAAAAAGAACTAAGAGTTTTATCTGATAAGTGGGGGGGGGGGGAAACTCTTATATGGTAACCGATTACCGAGTAAAAGAGGTGTGCAAACAATACACTTTGATGGTCTAAAATATTACCCAACAAGGTAATTGAGGGTGATGACTTTTGTCAATAATCATTTACCCTGAACGGTCCTTGGACTTGTTTGGTTTGGTTTATTTGGTATTATGTAAAATTGGGATGTTGAATGTTAGAAATCGTTTATCAAACACTTACTTAGTAAGTACTTACCGGTAAAATTTATCATCGTCATTTACTTACCGGGTAAGATTTTAGTTCACTAAAACGGTATCATATGCAAAAATTTACCCGATAAGTGCTTACCATGATAAGAGTCGTCGTCCTCACTTACCGGGTAAGACTCTTGGTCTTTATCTCGTTCTTACTGGGTAAGATTCTTGGTCCTTACCATATTCATCCGATAAAATAATATGACTCGGTATCATCCGAGTAAGCGTTTGATAAACAACCCTTTAGTTTTTATAAACATAAACGAAAAACAATGGTTTGATTTCAATATAGTTTGTTTAATAGTAAATATAATTAAAATAATGATCAGGTTTTAGTTTAAGCGAATTTTCCTATATTTTGTTTTTTTAAAACAAGTTTTATGTAATCCAATGGACAAACGAGAGCATGTCATACGTCCTTGACATTTATGAGATCTTTATATAAATGGTTTATAATTTATCATGAATAATATAAAACACTCGTCAACAATATTTACGTTCATTATTCATGATCAATGATGACAAACAGGAAAACGGAAAATCTCAATCTCAGCAACAATTTTATTAAGTATCTTACAATTAGAATTCCTCTTTGTTTCGAACCCCAGTTAGATTCAGGTATGCTACACTTTTTAGTTACTGGGAGAACTCAAGTACTCTCTTTCGTGTTCAAGAAAGATCTCTCTAAATTTTTTTTTTCTTTTAAAAGATACAAGAGCAAAACAATCAACTTCATAGTGGAAGATCCAACAGATTTTTACAAGAATTCTCTAGCCAAAATCTTCGTGCAAAAGATCTTTTCTTGCTCTAGCGGTATGTGAGTCTTTGGCCTCCTAGAAGGGTCAGGGGTTCAAACCTCACCAAAATGAAGAGGACGTGTGAGTTTTTTATTCTATTTGTCATACATAAATATTATACACTTAAAAAAATCATGTTTGTAATTAAATTTTCTCGTTTCTCAAAATATAACCAAATATAAAATACAATCCAAATTAACTTAAAACATAAACTTTTGGGTAAGCTTAACTGACAATAAAGTTTGGGTCTTTGGAGATTCTTCTAAAACGTCATGGATTCGAGTCCAACAAGGTCACTCACGATTTTTCTGACTGTTATCCAGGATTTCTGAAATTAGTCGAAGTGCGTACAAGTTAACTCTGACAACTAAATTTAAAATAAATATTATATACTTCAAAAAATATTCATTAACAATATTTACGTTCATTAACTAAAGGGTCTTTGGTCTCCTAAAAGGTTAGTAGTTCAAACCTCACCAAAGATAAAAAAAATATATGAATTTATTTGTTGCATTTATCGTTCATAAATATTATATATTAAAAAAAATATAAGTTAAAATAATAAATTCCATTGATCGGGCGAATGCCGAGTCTCAAAAATAAAAGAAAAAGAAAAAAGAGGACGGGATTTTCCATATAATTTTTCTGGCTTTCCTACCGTCCACTTCATCTGGCCAACAATTACAGGGACTGAGACTGTGTATCTGCTTCTTCTCTAATGGCAATGGCGTCCAACTTTACCACATTCCGGAAGGTCAGACCGTTCTACTTCTCTATTCACTCCTATTGTTACAAATCGAACTCTTTTCCCTTCGATTTAGGATTAAATTGTTTAATTTGATTACTTCTGTAGCTAAGGATCAAGGTTTTTTAGATCTGTATTGATGTCGGAATTCTCTGTTAAATCAAACAGCCACAGATGATGCACCAAATTTTCTGCAGAAAAAAGGAGAAAGGACGAGACCAGAACTATCCATATAAAGTCATCGAAGTTACGCCTCCGCCTAGAAACCTTGGTGTTCGCTGTTTCCCTCCCGTAAGCATCCTCAATTTTCCTAGTATAATATGTTCAATTTTTCTATCTTCAAGCTCTTACTTCGCCTCCAAATTTATTTTGCGATAAACTGCAAAATAGGGGAAACTTATTGTTGTCAGATTCAGAAGTGATTAGCGAAAACATTTTTCTAGTGGTGAGATCTATTATAAGGTGTAATGTAGTTATCGGTTTTGTGCAAAAAGTTACAGGATTAACATCAATTTTAATTAGAAAATTGAGCATCCTGATTCTGGAATTCAACTTCAGCTCTTCTTTTGGAAAAAATGGAGTTCCAGTTAGTTTAGTTTTGTTGATTTGGCTTTTCTCTTTTGAATTCTGATGAGAACATAGATGTACATATGTTTATAGTTCAAATAAATTCGATTAACTTACATAGAATAGAAAACTGGACTGCAACACCTCCCTAAAGTAAAGGTCAGTTTGGTTTGACGGAATGTTTTCAAGGGACTCGGATTTCATGGAAGGGTTTGGAATCTTTGAAGTTTTTGGTTTGTTGGATTTGGAACGGAACTGAATTCCATTCTTTATAAATAATTTATAAAAACAAATAACTAAAATAATTGAATTACCTTTTTTTAATTGATTATTACAAAACAAGTGTTTTTAACATATTTTAAAACATTACGACAAACAAATCCTATGAAATCCTGCTTGATACCAACTACACCATGGGATTTCTAAACCCCATGTTTGTGGAATTTTAATTCCAGACTTTCCTTTAAACTAAATGCAGGATTGGAATGGAATTCATTCCAAATCCTACCAAATCCTGCAAACCAAATGCACCCTTACTGTTGTAGGTATCGAGCTATTGAGTCTTTTTCAACTCGAGTAACACTGGTCCTTAAGACCTTGCTGCAATAGTCTTCCTAGTAACTTGTTCTTTGATCTGCATTTTAGAAGGAAACATGTATATATATGAAATTCTGCTACAAAAAGAACACTACAAGATATGTCCTGCAAAGCCAAACAAAACGAACCCATTCAATCCCACATACATAGAGTATGGTCAGGGGAGGGTAAGATGTACACAAAACCTTCTTTCTACCACCAGTGAGTAGAGAGGTTTTTTTCGGCTTGCAAAAAGATCTTGGAAAAGTTCATGGGGGAGTCTTAAGCGATTCCGATAGTTTGTCTAAAATTTGAAAAAAATGAAATACATAATGGGCTCTGATACCTAGTTGTCGACTCTCTAACTCTCATCCATCCAACCCCGTCCACTAGTCCTTAGACAAAATCTGCTACCCTGGTCCTGCATCTTCATAAACTCCTATCGTAGGTCATGTCCAGTCTCAGCTGCTCATCCACACCCTCCTCAACTCAAACATGTCGTGCATTTAACGTATTTGACTATTACATCGTCAAATTCTTGGTGCAAAAGCCGTATGATAAAAGATAATCCTAGAGATAGATTATAGGTTGATTGATTTTGACAATTCATTGGTTCACTTGTAAGGATCATGTCTACTGCATTGACATGCCCATTTTGGCCCTGCCTAGAGATGCACAAAAATCCTGAAGCCCGACCGGAAAAAGCTTGAAAAGACCCAAGTCAGGCGTAAAAGCAACTTTTTCAAAAGCCCGAAAAGGCCCAGTCTCTTTTTCTGCTTACTGAATACGGGATTGGAAAGCCCGACCTTGTGCATCTCTCTCTACAATAATAGCCTGGGTGCCCAAAGTATCATCCCCGCACAACGAACATTCTATAGGGGTATTAAAGGCGCCCTTGTTTTAATTTGATATATGCTCCTCTATGTTCAAAAAAATGGTTGTAGATTACCGGTAGTGTCATTTAGAGTATGTTTATTAGCAGCTTAATGGGACTCATTGCTTATTAGGTCAACTATACATGACTATTTGATAGTAGCTTAATGATATAAAAAATGACTTATTCATTAAGCTTCTAAGGGAGAGCTTATGCAGAAAGTCAAGTTTTTTCCAATCCTACCCTTCTCAATTAAAAATCATGCTCCTTTCATTTATGAAAAAACCATCTCAATATATACAAACAGATTAATATTTAAAGACAGTTTTATTCATATATGACTTGACGGAAAACCAACCCTCAATTTCAATCCCTTTGGCTCTTTTTTGTTGGTTGGTAACATTAGCAGAAAAAGGAAAAAGAACCACTTTGGTGTCATTTTTTATTTAAAATTTACTTTTTATAATTAATTTTTGTTTTCTTTTAAATTATTTTAGTTTTTCCATTCTTGCTCGGAAGTCTTGTGTGAACTAAATCTTGTGTGATGGCAGAACTTGCAATGTGGAGATGGTGTGACGATCGAAGGTCAGAATTACACGATCTCAGCGGTCACACACCGGTACCAGCTTCGAAAAGGTAAATACGAACCAAGCGAGAAAAGACTCGACGTGCTCTCCACCGGAAGATACATATTGAATTTATATTTGGAAAACTTATTACAACAATCATAAAAATAGTTTATATGTTGTATTGTTACACTTAGGGGCTGTTTGTTTACCTCTGAATGATACCATTAAGACTTTAAGGTCTGATTCGGTCAGACATTTTCTTGTTTGGGTACGTTTTTAAAAAGGTCTGAATGAAAACTTTATATCTGATTCACTCYTTCACCCGCTAGCCCTCCATACGATTCAGATGCATATTTTTCCAGGTTTGCCCTCCCTTTTTCTCTAATCATCGTTCCAGGTCTGACCCTCTGTTCTATCGATCGGTTGTAGCAATGGCACCAGCAGAACCTTCTTCTCGTTCATTCTTGGTCTCACCCTTCTTCTGAATCATAAACCCTAGACAAGCGTACCTTGTTTGATCCTCTCTGAATCTCTATTAATGTTGTAGCTGTAAAGCTTGGCACAACTCCACCATCGTTGAAAACAAAAGGGAGAAGAAATAGATTCAACAAAAGGGAGAAGAAAAAGAAAACCTCATGAAGCCTTCTAAATAGAAAAAGCATTTTAACACCTGCAGATGCTTCTTCTAGGTTGATGGAGAAACCACTTTTGAGATGACAATTTGGAATTAAAACAATCCATGGTTTTATGTATTCCCTCCCACGGTTTTGGTACAATTTGAGTAGTATTATAATATTGATGACATTGGAGGTGGGGTGCTTGGAATGGACTTCACATTTACCAAAAACAAGAGGTTGGGTATTAGAATTATATGGTGGATAAAGAATGTGTATTTATCTTTTTGTTGGGTATAAGAATTATATGGTGGATTATTAACTATTTTTTATTTTTTATTTAGAAATTTCCTTCATAATTGTTGTTAAACGTTAATTTTCATTAAATACAAGACTGGGGGGTAAAATGGTAATTTTATGTCATTCAGACTGTTCATTCAGAACAGTTTCCAAACAACCTTTTTTCTATCTGACACTAAATCATACAGAGTCTCTTAATCATTCTGACCACTTAATCATATTGCACTAAACCATTCAGCAACTGCCAAACAGCCCCTTATATTGAGTAGCGCCAAGTGTTGTGCAAATGCTACCCATGTCTCGTGTACAAAATATGTATAAAATATTGAAGTTATTGTGGTTTGAAAATGGGTTTGGTCTTTTGGTTGAATAAGAGCAATGCACAACATTTACTTCACTTTGTACAAGTTGGTATCTTAATTTCGAAGCTGCTAAATGGTTTAATGCAGAATGATTAAGAGGCTCTCATGATATAGTGCAAAATGAAATATAATTGTCGGTAATTGTTTATAATGGAATTAAGGTGCTGAATGGTTAAGGAAGTTTCAGGATACAAAATTATTCAGAGAGTTTAAGAACTATTAAGAGACCGATTTTTTTTTTGTCAAACAAGATTCAGATATTGTCTTTTAATGAAACTATTAAGAGATAAACCAACAACTCTATTATCATCTCACCTTTGGTTTAAAGGAAAATTTGGAACTGAAATCCTGCAATTTCAATAAAATCATGAGTAGTTCGTATTTCATAAGATTTGTTTTTAATATGTTAAAAATACTTGTTTTGTAATATTCAATTAATAAAAAGGTAATTCAAATAATTTTTTTATTACTATTTATAATTTGTTATTATAACTGTATTCGAAATACTACAAACCGAACACATCAAATATTTTAAACGTTCCATTCCAAAATCTTCCATAAAATCCAAATCACTCAAATATTTTTGTCAAACCAAAGGGCCCTTAGAGATTTTTAGGAATTAAAAACTAAAAACTAAGAAAATGATGTAAATGAGAATCAAAACCCATGCCTGAAAGGGGATAAAAGGCCGTGAAAACCAACTCTATGAAAAGAAACTTATGTTATCATTGTGGTTTCAAAGAGTATACTGTTGCACCCAACAAAATAATAGATGACACCTTCGACATGGTAGCTCAATTGACAAATGAGCAGGACGATTTTACTCAAATACAAAACAAGACCTGGGTTTGATTTCGGTTCCCCGTTAGCCTCAGCCATTGAGTGAACCAAAACATGTCCCAACACATAGGTGTCCTTTGGGGGTGAGTTATGTGTGAAACCGGTTGAAGTTGTCAGTAATCAATTTTTTTATCTAGAATAATACGATGCCACATTTCGCACGACCATACTTTTTTAACACTTTGATGAAGAACAGAGTGATAACCCATGCCGAAATATATCCGATTTGGTCTCATCGAAATAATTTAGTTTTCAAGAAGGAAAAAAAGAAAGTTGTTGGGTATGTTGTTTGAATTCTAATTGAGAAGCTTCGAATGGATTGCTAGAAAGGTCCAGAACAGTAAGAGATTGTTTGACAGTTGCTGAATAGTTTGGTGCAAAATGATTAAGTGGTAAGAGACTCTCATGATATAATACAAAATGAAATATAATTGTTTGCTAATTGTTTACAATAAGTTATGGCGCTGAATGGCTAAGAACTATTAAGAGACAGATTTTTTTTTTGACAAACAAGATTCACCTCTTAATGTTCGACCACATTTTTTTAATATAGAGGGGAGACACCCCTCCTATCAGGAGAAAAACACTAAACGTTAAAAACAACAAATTTAAGCACTCGGGTGGAGACGAACCACATCCACCAGAAAAGAACCAAGACTCCCTGAAAGAAAGAAAACACGGGGAAGAGAAGAGAGGGACCAACCACTAGGGAAGGTTTGACACTGTTTGAAGGTTCCTTTTCTTTGTTTTTGTTTGTAGGAGGGAGGGTTAAAAGTTCTTTTGTATGCTATAAATGATTTTCGTACGTCTGTACCCTGCAAAATCTTCATTTTTTGGTTGTTGGTTTTTTGTTCTCGTAGCTTGTACCGATAGTTTAACAGTAATGATTTTAGTTGATTGTTTTAAAAAAAAGAACGATAATCTGTACCATCATATCCACTGTCTGCTAATTATGTTGTATATTTATATCGAGCCACACCCCAACATGTGTAGGATTTTTAAATACCAATTAATCATGATTGATTATTGATGTTAAATGTTTGATTACACATTATAATTATTTAAACTCTTTTATGATAATTAGGTTAATTATTATATGGAATATTTAAAGTTATGTCATTGTAGTTATAGTTGAAGAATTCTTGTTGCTTACACGTTTTGACCACCTTTTTATATTATTATGGAGCATTTAGAGTAAATTATAAATTTGGTTCCCGTGGTTTGTTAGAAATAACACTTTTTATTCATATAGTTTCAAAATTACAAAATAACTATAGTGGTTTATAAAAACGTTCAGATTTGGTTCATTTTAACTACCGTTAGTAAATTCTGTTAAATAAGAAGTAATTTCGTCATTTTATCGATTTTTTTGTCTTTTAACTAATCAAAGTTGATTCTATGATTTTGGTTTTTGTTGTTTTTGATTGGTTAAAAGACAAAAAAAATTGATAAAATGGTTAAAATATCCCTCGTTTTGACGGAACTTTTTAACAGCCGCTAGTGGAAATGACCAAATATGGATTGTTTTACAGGGCACAATGTCATCATGTAATTTCAAAACTGTAGAGACAAAAAATGTTATTTTCGACAAACCACAGAGACAAATTTTGTAGTTTACTCGTTTTTTGTTACTGTGCACAAGGGACCAAAAAACAAAATGTTAATACTGTATACCAACAAAGTCTGCATACTAGGTATAATACTACTAACCGATTGTAGTTAATACCAATTTAATTCGTAAGATTAATAGGTGTTGGATAGTTCAATTTGATACAATATTGTCACTCTTTTTTAAACCAAACATTAATATTTTTCAATGAAACAAAAATTAAATGGAATTTCAAATATTTAATTGATGATAAATTATTTTTATCAAGTTAAAAACGTATATATTTATTTCTTATTTTAGAGTAAACTGTAAATTTGGTCCCTATGGTTTATCGAAAATAACACCTTTTGTCTTTATGGTTTCAAAACCATGGTCATTGTAGTTTGTAAAAACGTCTGGATTTGGTTTCTCTCCTTTATCGGCCATTAGAAAATTCTGTATGAGCGTTTTTGTCATTTTATCTTTTAACCAATCAAAATCAATTTTAATCAATAAAAGGACGAAAACATTTTCATAAATCATTATGGTAATTTTATAATTTTAAAACTTTAAGGACTAAAAGTGTTATTTTTGATAAATCACAAGGACCAAATTCGTAATTTACTATTTATTTTATAAATTTTTTTATTACCGGGCACAAGGGACCAAAAACGAAATGTTAATAGTTGCCCTTCCCAAATGCACAGCCTCCGACATGTAATCCATATAAAGCGATTATTGAAAAGCAAAATCTCAGCCGTTTCCTTTCCGTCCAATCTTATCTTACCGACGTCTCTACTTCCTCCTCCGTCGTTCGTCCATACTTTTTCCGGCATGGCCGCCGCACCGGAGAATGGTACAGCTGATATTCCTACTGAAGACCTGGTGGTTGATGACAACGTCAAGTTTGGATTCGAACGGCAGGAGATGTTCACTGAGAATCTCTCCGGATCTGTTCATCCTTACGAACGTCACGTTTTCCTCTGTTATAAGACTCACGAAGACTGGCCTGCTCGTGTTGAATCTTCCGATTCCGATCCGCTACCTAAACGTCTTGCTGGAGCCATCAAGGATCGTAAGAACGACATCGCTGGAAAGGTTGATTTCTCTCAACTGTGTTGGTTAGCTTCTTTATGCTTATGAGTTGTTTTTAAGTTTAAAGTGGTTTAAAGTGTTGATGAGGCTTTTGATTACTGATCTGACTTTTGTAGACTCTGTTGACCATATTCGAGGGTCGTGGTGATACGGATTTATCGGATGGAGATATTTTGATTTTTCCTGATATGATCAAGTACAGGTAACGTGAGGTTCTCTAGGGTTTAAATATAGTATATGTATGCTTGTCTATGTACATGTATATTCGTTTTAATTTTTTACGTTTCAGATTTGTTCGACGATTTTGTTTATATCTACGACTGTTTGCTTTGTCAATTTGAAAGCAAAATAATACTCGATTTCATGTGCAAATCATTATGAGAAATATGCCAAACTCGCTCAATTAGATGAAAATTTTGAATTAGTGAAAAGTGAGGTTAGATATCTGCTCTTATAGTTTTGATGGAGTTATACTTTAGTTAGCAAGTTATTTGTTCGTAAGTTTAACATTCGATGATGTTTCACTGCTTTCGCATAATGTCCAAGCTCTATTTCTTTTGCTTACATGAACAATTGTAATAGGATTCTATGTATGAAACCAGTGAAAGTTACTAACCGATGCAATGATAAAATTAACATTGATAGAAAAGGCAAAAACCACACTAGCAAGACCATTTCTAAGCATCCTGCTACCATTGCTGATGTTGTCAATATAAGAATCATCCATCTCTTAGAAACGTGGTTCGAAGAAGGCTCCCCACCTGTCCCAACTACTCCCTGGCTAACAATTTTAGTGGGAAGCTTAGAGAATTTTCAAAGCAATTGGCTATTAAGAAAGTTGGAAGCCTTGCAATGTTCATGAAATCACACTTTTCCCTTGAAACAGTCTTGAATTAGGGACTCTGCACATATGTAGCCTTGTCTTCAAAGATGATCTTCATTTGGAGCATCCAAATTTCCCACATAATAGAACAATAAAGTCATTTCCAATGCTCACCTGACCTTTTCAAGTCTGTAGTCCCCAAGTACTGGAAATGTTGTCTGCAGTATGAAAACCCAACTTTTTAGAGAAAATTTCAATAAAGAATCTGAGAGATCAGTAGCAAGAGGGCCAAAAAAGAAAAGACCATCAAATGATTCATAAATGTGATTTGTAACACAGCAAGAGCACTTAGAAGGGAACTGCATACCTTTTTGCTGGAATTTTAATGACTAGGGACAGCTTTGTGGTACGGTCTTGCAGAGAATTACCATTATACACCTTAGCAAATGGTTAAATGGCTTACTTCTTGATATTTTTGTAATTGAAGGGGTTTGGAAGAATCGAACATCAATAGTTTTGTGGAGGAAGTGCTTGTGAATTGTGAACCATGGGCTTCAGGAACACCAGATGTGGTGACAGGTTCACACGTATTCGTTTGTGCTCATAATAGTCGAGATAAGAGGTGTGGTGTTTGTGGACCAGCTTTAATTGAGAAATTCACTGAGGAGATTGACCTCAAAGGATTGAAGGATCAGGTGTTCGTGAGTCCTTGCTCACATGTTGGTGGCCACAAATATGCAGGGAACTTGATAATATATAGCACCGGTCAAGATGGGAAAGTTTCCGGGCATTGGTAAGACAATCCATCACCATGTTTATTTATTTCTTCTTATTGTTGTTTGAAGCAGTCACTTTAAAGTTCAATTCTCAAAGTAGGTGATAAATTGTTTTTTAAGTTTCTTTTCTTGTATTGCAGGTATGGTTATGTTACCCCAAATGATATTCCTGAATTGCTTGACCAACATATCAACAAGGGCGAGATCATTGAAAGGATTTGGAGGTACCATCTTCCTTTCTTACCCACTTTGCTCAATTGTTGTTGATCCTTCTATATAAATCTTTTGATTGATTAGGGGAATCAGGTTTGATTTCGGCTTATGGATTAAGATTATGCTATTGTCTGATTTTGGCTTAATATAAACAGATGACTTAATTCGTTAAGCCCATCCATGGAGGCTTTTGCCATTCAACCCTTTGCCAAATTTTACCAATAATACCCTTTGCACCACTTTTTGTAATCAAACATTTCATTAAATTCGGCTTCGCTACTAAAAGATAATCAAATTACGATTTTAAGTTGTTTCGAGTAAATATTTAGTTATTTCAAGTATTTTGTCATGAAATTGTTGAATTTAATATCAGTCATGTTATTTTAAATAATTCATAAATTATCAAAGAGCCTTTGGCATAAGGGTATTTGTTGAGCATTTAGGCTGTATGAGCTTATTCATTGCATTTTTATAAGTTTATGCATAATGTCGTTTCTTATTTATTACAATTTACTAGCAGTTTGACTATTATTAACCATGCATTTTCTTTGTTACATATTATTTCATTGCAACCACTAATTACGACTTGATTCACGCAACTACAGGGGTCAAATGGGCGCTGAGAAAGCTGAAAAGGCAGTGGAACCGGAACCGGCACTGGCACTGGCACTTCCAAACGGAAACGGTCTGAAAGTCAACGAGAAAGATGAAACCGTCAAAGAAGAAAAGGAAAACAGCGGAGGCTGTTGTCAAGGTGCCACCGGATTCTCATGCTGCAGAGACGAAACTTCTGAGGTCAAAAAGAAGTCAACCAGTAAACTCGATCTCTTCAGTAAAAAATGGGAGCAACACGATATTTTTACAGCCGCCGCTGTTATCGGAGCTGTGGCAACCGTAGCTGTGGCCTATAGCCTCTATAAACGGTCACGGTGAGATCCACTCTTTTTTTACCGATAAAGATTACAAAAGGTAAAACTTGATTTCTATATTCGAAGGTTAGTAAACATGAAGTAATATTTTGATCACCGTACACACAAAACACACTATGTTTCCCGCACTTAGTTTTTTTTTCTACGTATACGAACCGAGTATTTTTGGTACATTGCCCTGTTTGTAAGGGTAGAAAACCAGCTTCTATCTAGCATTTTGATGATGATTCTATTTGCTAGTTTCATTTTCAACACACCCTAATACCATATTACAAGTGATACGAATAAATGGTATATTATCAAAGGGGGTTTAAAATGCATGCCATTTCGCAATGTGATTTGTGTGCTACAGTTGATGTGTTTTTAGGACATGATTGAAGTTTGAACTTGATTTTTTTTTTTTCGTATTTTTATGGTGGGTTGAATTCCGGTAAGAATAGAAGTTATGTTGAGAAGGGATCTACACCTTTGGATCAATCTTGATTGAAGATCAACACGTGTGAGATGCACCGGATCAATTCTCTTATCAAGCGTAATTCATGAGGTGGGGGTGATATTAGAAGTGATCAAGGGTCCATAACCCTTCTTAAACTTTTCATCTTAACTCCTAGTCTTACATGATCCTTCATCTATTATGGTAAACTTGATGGCTAAAATATTTGTGTTGTTTATTGACAGCTTAACGAGTTTAATGGGACTCATAGCTTATTGGTCAACTATACATGAATGTTTAGTAGTGGCTTATTCAATAAGCTTCTAAGGGAAGCTTTACGTAGAAAATCAAGTTTTTTCAAACTTATCCCTCCCAATTAAAAAGCATGTTATTAAGAAAACATTTCAAACAAAAATCTTCTCAATCTATATAAATAAATTAATTAACTTTTTTCATTAAAAAAATTAATGAAAACATTTAGTTTGAAATTCCTTGGACCACCTTAATCTTGGAAAATTTAAATATAAAATGATTGAAAAATACACCAAGAACTATTTCAAAGAAACTACAGAATTGAGAATCAAACTAAATATATTTTGTCCAGTCCTTGAATCATTGTTGGTTTCGGTAAAGGAATAAAAATGATAAAGAATGACATGGGAATGTGAATTATACTAGTCCTTGAAAAGGACTAAGAACCTCCCGAAATGGATTCGATTATTCCAAGAGTTATACCTTTCTTTGATATGGATTCTTTGATAGGCATGTAGAAGTTATTGTACGTCAAATAACATTAGAGGTGTTGGTTTTAGAAGACGAAACGTCTAATGTTTTTTTCCTTCAAATTACTAATTGGAATGTTGTGAGCGGAACAAATGGGGCGTGCTTTAGAAGAAGCTATTTGTTACCGAGCTGTCTTTTGGGGAATAACAAGAGCATCTATGAATTCTTGAATTTTATTCACAAGTATTTTGTGAGGATCATGCATCTTCTTTTTTTAGGTATTCTTTATAGTTTTACCTAGAATAAAGTTTTGGGTTTATGAGAGAATTAGCCATGATCCTGTATAAAACCAAATAATTTATTTTATTTTCGTTCCTATTAATTATCACTGAAAATCTTTAAGCAAATTGTAATGACCCTAGAAAATTCTGAAATTGTAACACCATTTGATTATAAGAAGAAAAAAATATTTAAATTATTATAGATTTTTCGATTGGTGTCTTTGCCTTTACACAAAAACAACCCTTATTTAAATCATGCCTTCATAAATAAATTAAAACTCAAGCTGCATAAAAAATCTCAAAATTTAAGCTAACTGAAATTTTAATAAAAACGGGACCTGGACACAGACCCTTTGTACAAAGGCAACAATGTTAACTACATCCGTCATTACAAAATTGTGTCATTAGTTTAGTTTTAAAAGATATAAAGACACCCAACGAAATGACACTTTAACATGCTTTAAAAATGTAACTTTTTTCATTAAGACATAATCATAAACGGGTGGCCCATACCATCGTATTCCTCTATCTAAGTCCGGCCTTCAGTAATCAATGTCTTGATTCTAGAGTATAATCATAAAATGTGTATATACAAAGACGAAAAACCGCTTTATGGAATGTGTTCTCCGTAAAGATTCACGTATTAAACCAAAGAGTCTTTGGCTTATGATATCCGGATTACTAATAGAACCCACTCTATCTAGATATCAAAGGTTTAAGCATCTTTACAAGTACAAGAGTTTTGCAGTATATAAATATTATATCTATATACTGTTAAGCCTAGCAATCATCTTCTCCACCGTTCCAACCTCTGTTCCACCTCTATCAATCTCCCCCATAACCTCTTCCAAAACCACATTCTTTGACATCTCACTTCTACAAACCTTCTTGCAATCCCTCAAAAGTCGAAGCAGCGATTTCGCGCTCCTTTTCGCTCGATGGGTCCCATCGATGCTGAGCTGGAGTAGGCCCGGAATCGCTCCTTCTCGCAAAATCATCCCTCGGTATCTTTCCCTACTACTTTCGCATATCAACAACAATATTCCGACTGCATACTCTTTGCAAGTCTTTGAACCATCTTCTACGGCCTCGACCAGTGCCCGAATCCCGATCGCACTCTCTTTTAAACCAATTTCCGATGAAGAAACTATGTGGTCAAGTAAACCCATGGATTTTTCGACCAATTTCGATGATTTTTCGGACTCGTTTATGAGTTGGATCAAAGAAGATACCGTTGATGATGAAACGATGGTGGGAATGAGTTGATGGCATGTTGATAGGTTATGGAGAGTGACTACGATATCGAGCTTTGCTTGTGTGGTATTGTTTTCGAGAAGGGATTCGTTTAGGACTCGAATGGCACCGGAGGCAGCCATTAATGACTTGTTTGCTGAGCATGATGATAAGATTAAAAGTGCTGCTATTACATGATCAATCAATGGATGGATTTGCGATTTTACGAGGTTTAAAAGTAGAGAAATCGCTCCCGATTTTGCGATCCGGATCTTGTTTCTGTAACCATAACACATGCAACTTATCAGAGCATCTTAACAGATTTTCTAAAATGAAGATTATATAGATTTTTGTTCCAACAGATTTTTCAAAAATCTTCTCCAAAATAGAGAAAGTAACAAAGAATTGATTAAAAATCTCCAAATCTGAGGAACTGACAGTAAAAGAACTCGTGTTCGAGAAATGAATAGAAATAAAATAATGATATTATTTTAAGTCGATCAAGATCTGGAATGTTCTTCTAATTGCCGAACACACACACGTGAAAATTAATGGTGTTTGCGAGCAGAGGGGAAATCAAACGAACCTTTCGCTGCCATAGGCGAGACTCATGAGAGCAAAAATGGCGGATTCTAGGGATTTAAAATCTGGAGGAGCATGAAGCATGGAGACGATCGGAGGAATAGCTCCATTATCAGCCAATTTGTGTCTCTGTTTGTTTGTGAGATGAATAACGGCCTCTGCGGCGGCGATCTTCGCTTCATGATCACCGAACAAAAGCGCTTCCACCACCTCTACTTCCGCCATGGATTAATGACCGATCAGGTATGCGTCTGTGATTAAGAGAGTATGTATATATGTATATGATTTGGTTGTATCGATGTTTGGAAATGGATAATGCTTTTTTGGGAGTAAATTTGGAAGAGAAGCAAAGGTATACTATTCCCTATGGACCATAACCAGCAGCTTTTTCCGGCCACCGTCCGCGGTTGGGGATTGGGATCTTTTTTTAACTTTCCTTAAATAGAAGGTCATGCACATGTACATAGAGATGCGCTCTTCATTTTGAGAACCAAAAAAACCATTAATATATTGTTTGAAGGGTATTCCCAATGCACTCCATATATATGTTCTCCAATTTTAGCCTTTGGGGATTCTCTTATAACGTCACGGTACGGTTCGACTCATCACATCCATTGTAGAACATATGGTGTCTCATAACCCTGCAAAAAAAATCTGATCAATCCGATCTAACGCGAAATAATTCAACCCGATGTCTAATCGAGTTGTAAAATTTTCAAACCATAGGTATTGGGTTACTATTATTTGAACTCAACTCAACTCAACCCGATGAATCCGATATTCTTTTACTTTTTAGATTTAATATGATTGTTGAATTTCTATTAATATATACATTAAACAATTACACTATCATGTACGCTCTTCATATACACATATTTTCAATCTATTCACACTTTTATATAACTCATTTGTATATATGTTCAGTAACTGTGAATGTATATATGTGAATTGGGAAAACTAACCGAATATGATATACGTAAGAAGTATGCATAAATTGTATCAAATGGTTGATGATGAAAAAAAATTATGAGTAAAAAATAACATATTTAAGGTTAAAAAAAATATTTTAATATATCAAAATATCAATTCGAACCTCTCATATAGATTGGGTTGCATTTTGGTTTAGGTTGGAGTGTCTTAAAAGGGTTAAAATGAGAATGTGAGAGAGTCAACAACATATCCAACGGTAGAAACGAGGAGTCTCATGAGACCACCACAAAGAGTGTAGCAGTGGATAGAAACTTGAAGGCATGTAGAGAAGTAGGTCACATGAATATCTATCTAAACCCATGGTTCGTAGTGGGATCTCTGATTATGTTCCATGCCCCCATAAATCCTACCCTCAACCACACATAAATATCCATTAATAAAAGTACCCATTTTACTATTATTAAATATTTGTAGGTTAATTTTTGTACAATCAGATTTAAATACACCGTATCAACCTCAAATATAAATATAATAATATTAACGGTTAGATTCCACTGAAAATGATGAAATTCGAGAATGGTAAAAAAAGATCTCCACCCTTGAAAATCAGCAGATGCACCAAACCGATTCCTGTGATAAGCGTAATTCATGTGTAATCCACATCCCTTTTTTTATTCACACATTAAGATTCTTCGTCATAATATTAAAATCTAAATAGTTAACTACAACGGTGGTGCCTGGTTGGTTTGAGTTTGAGCTCCAAATGTCAAAGTGTCTGGAGGTCCCATGTTCAAATCCAAAGAAGAATAATATACTCTTTTTTAGCCATGAAAGTTCAAATAAGGTGATTTTGGGCTACCTACAAAGCAGATGGTTGTCCTGAGATTTATCAACTCACATAACAAGTTGGATATTCAGGTTAATCAAAAAAAAAAAATCTAAAAAGTTACCCAAAAAATAAACAAATTAATTTTTTACCCAAATTAAACCCTTAAGTCCAAAAAGTTAGGGCCAAACATACAAAAATTACCCTAAAGAGTTAGCACTTAATTAAGATGTTATTATGTTAACATCAGTATAAATAAATTAATCCTAAAAAATTAACCTTAAAATAATCAAATAAATCTCGTTTAACCTTAAAATCAAAATGTTAACAAAAAAACATAAACAAGTTTACCCTAAATATTAATTTCAATTAAAATTCATCTCTTTAAAGAGTTAGGCTTTTCTAGGTAACCGTGGAGTTCCGAAACAGCTTATGTGTACCCAACCAATCATCTGGACGATCACGAATGTCCTGCAGTCACCGTATGTGAACCTTCATGGCCACAAGGGTTAGGGTTATTGGTTAGGTTTATGGTTTTACCCAGTGAAAATTGTTCCACCCAACGGTAAATGTTTGTGGCTTCATCCGATAAAAATGTATGGTCCATCATTAAACAGCTAAAAAGATTTACAGTATTCAACACGAAATTAATGACGGGAAACACTACCTAAAAGATAGGTCCACCCATATACCTCCTATATATGTAAGTGCCGCAATTCCAACCTTTATGTAAGATATAAGCTTAGCATAAAGGTTGTAACTAATAAAGATGGTTTAAAGTTTCAGTACAAAAATAACTGAAATAAAATAAAAATCACAACACACTAAAACCCTTCACGGATATATGTTCAAGATTTTGAAATGGGAATAAATTAAACGATTTTGAGAAACAACAAATAGTATATTATTTCATATGATTTTTTTACATATGGTTATAATTTAATATAATAATTAACATATATTTGTTTCACATGTAGTCGGTTCACAATGTGAATCTTTTTAACGTGTTTGTAAAACAAAAAATACATGTAAAAAAATTCACATGTAAAGCAAAACCTTAGAGTATCTCCACAACATATGCTAAATACAATACTAAAAGTCAAAATTTCTAATAGAAATTACACTATATACCTTATTTTATTAATTATAACATTAATTATATTATTAAAATATTCGATACATTTTATAAAACATTAATTATCTCTCCTACACATTTATTTTTAATATATATTATTAGTCGGAAGTATTAAAATAATAATTTCTCTCTTTATTAAGAGACTTCTCTAGATATTTTTACAGTGTCTTTTTTTTAGCATAGATGTTGGAGATGTTTAGGGCATGTTTGTTTTTTTCAAAATGACCTCTTAGTACATCTGAAGTCTGATTCGTTTAGACGTTTTGGTATTAAAAGCGTTTGTTTTATTTTTAAAATAAGAACTTAAAAGCTCTAAATGTTCTCTGAATTTTTAAGTGGTAAATGTATCACTTAATACCTCTTAATCCTAATATGTCATATATCATATGGTTCATATTTGGGGGTTGGAAGAGATTTATTAGTAAAAACTATTCATCTCTTAAACTTTTGTAAAAAATTATTTATCTTTTTATATTTTTACACTAGTTTGACCGATTTATATTTCAGACGTAAAAACAAACAATCTTACTGATCTAGATCTCAGACTTCATGACCACCTCTTATAAATCAGAAGTGAAATCAGACTTCAGACTTCAGTACCTCTTTAAAAACAAACGTCACCTTACAATCTCTCTCCTCTTTTCTTTATTTTACAATACAATATAGCAAAACTGTTGGAATCCTTTTTTTTTTTTTTTTTCATTTTTAACATAACTGTTGAATTTATAAATTTTAAAGTTATCAAATAATTTTAAATTTTATGAGTTGAATTACACGGATCTCATAGTTTTTTCTATTAACCTGAATATCTAACCCGCTATACAAACGGACTAATCTCAAGATAACCATTTATTTTATGGATAATCCGGAGTCACCGTATTTAAACCCCAGTAACCAAAGTGCATCTAATAGTTTATGTTTTGGCGGGTGGTAATTGTATCCGCGATTCCAGTTGCAATTGGAAAAGGATTCAATGCACCCCTAACAAAAGACCTATTCTAGGCTATCTCCTCTTTTTTCGATTCCTGTAATGAATTGGTGCCATTCTTTATGGAATTCATAAGTAGTCACTCTCAAGCATTCTTTATTCCCATTTCAACAAATATAATTTTTCCTTTTTTTAATTTTTTTTTTGCTATTTTTTAAACGAAACTCGGATATATGCAGAGGTTTAAATGAGATTACGTTCGTTTTATGAAAACGTAAAAACACTCTAGTGTTATAGAAAACCAGATGTGATAATACTGTTGTGATGTGCGACCGACCGACCTTTGGAATGACCCTACAGTACCACATGTGATTTTCTATCATAAAATGGTGTTCTTGTTTTTTCGTACTGGTTGAACCCTTCCCTTTGGATATAAGAGTCAAACTTAACCAGTTAACCACAAGGGTGATGCCTCATTGGTTTGAGCTTGGGCTTCAAAGATCAAAAGTGTTTTGAGATCCCAGGTTCGAATACAAGGTGAAATAAAAATCCCCTTGTGGCCACGAAGGTTCAAACCGGTGACTTCGGGCTACCTGTGAAACGGTGGTCGCCCTGAGATTAGTTAGCTCGCATAGCAGGTTGGATATCCATTTAAAAAAAAATCAAACTCAAGATTCTTAAATTATTCTTTGATATATCCGATGAGTTACCTCAGATTCGTCAGTAGGTGCCAAAAGTTTGGAAAATTGACTATTTACTAAAGGGTCGTTTGCTAAACGCTCATCCGGTAAATCTTTATTGGGTAATTTCCTTACCGGATGAACATGGCACGGGTCAAAAATCTTACCCGGTAGGAGCAATGATAAAGATGGAAGGTTTTACTCGATAAGTGAGGGTGACGACTCTTACCTGGATAAGTGTTTACCGGGTAAATTGTTGCATACGATGTCATTTCGATGTACTACAATCTTACCCAGTAAAATAAATTATAGTGTTGACTCCTAACGATAAGCGCTTACCGGGTAAGCATTTAAATAAACGGCCCCTAAGTTCACTTTTTAGTCACTTTCTGAATTCAATTGAAAAAATGGATTAAAAAATGTATTTGGTTGGGGAAATTGATTGTTTTCATCAATTTCCCCGGTTTTACCCTTCCATAATTATTTTTTGATTATTTCTTGAAGATTGTTCTCAACCAAGTTGAAGATGATAAATCATGTAAATGAAGTCACATTCTTTTCAATTAAGAGTTGTTTATCAAATGCTTGTCAGAGTCGCAAGAGTCATCTGTCCTCACGTATTTTATCAGATAACATTTCTAGCCATTAAAATGGATTGTTAATAAACATTTTTTACCTGGTAAACACTAAGTAAGTAAGAGACTTCTCTCTCACTTATTGTGACATTTTATCAGGTAGGATTTTGGGTCCTTGACCCAATAAGATAAGTAATAGATGGTAAGCGGCTAAGCGCTTACCTGATAAGCGGCTAAGCGCTTACCTGATAAGCTTGGTAAAGACCCCTAAATTAATAGAACTAAGGGACCGTTTACCAAACACTTACCCGGTAAGCGTTTACCGGTAAAATTTAACACTACCACTTACTTACCGGGTAAGACTTTAGTCCACCAAAACGGCATTGTATGTAACAATTTACCCAGTAAGTGCTTACCATGGTAAGAGTCGTCGTCTTCACTTACCAGGTAAGACTCTCGGTCTTTGTCTCCCTCTTACGGTGTAAGATTCTTGGTCCTTACCATATTCATTCGGTAACGTAATGTGACTTGGTAAGCGCTTACCCGGGTAAGCGTTTGGTAAACGGCCCCTAACCTTTGTGTATGAATTTAGTGATGAATTGGAACCAGATCACATATCCATGAAGAGAAAACAAGGCAACCGTATCTATACTAGGTCGTTAACTCTAGCTAGCCTGGTCTGAACCACTGAAGATTTCCCTGATGTTATTTTCAGGGCCCTTTGGGTCAGGGTGCGCACAATGCCCAAAACTGGACTAACATGGCTCTACACCACTGTGACTCGAGAAGAATGTTGATGCAGATTGTGGGCACTTATTCCGGTTGTACAAGACCTATCATTACCGATACTAGTCCACATAACAATGTTCGGCGGCTACAAACTCTTCAAGAACTCCTAATTCGTGATCGATTGATGCTTTCACACTTTGAATATAAGTAAATCTGTAAAGACCCAACAAACAAATTTGAATCAGTCTCATGATTCTCTTTCACCAACCCATGATCGAATTAAAATCAATCTCGTGATCAAATTCATCGAGATCACATGGCAAAAGATTTGAAGGGTTTCTGCATATATCGCTACTCTAGAATATAGAATTTCAGGTTGAGGCATTTCGTCGAACAGATTGCATGCATCTTCGAGTATTTGTCTCCCGATAAGGAAAATAATCGTAGTAATTTTTGAGATTATGAACGATAATGGATAACTAAGGGGAATTCAAGAATAAACGTGAAGGATTAGTTGGGCGAAATAAAGAAATTTGAAGGGGGTTGATTGTAAATTCAGGAATTCATAAATAAACATGAAGGACTAATTGTATCAGATAAATGAATTTAAAGGGCGTTGACTGTAAATTCGGAAAGTGTATTGGATTCATCGATCGTTTCTCTCGATGTCAATGGTTGACTACATGCACAAAATGTAGTCACATTTAAGTTTTTTCACTTAATCACATTCTTATTTCTATAGTCATAAAAAGAGTTAATCACTGTTGTGGTACCTAATAATTGTAGAAAAGATAAACAAACAAAACAATATGAAAACGAAGAAAAAAAGCAAAAAAGACGAAAATAACCTCAAAGCTAACAAGCTCGTTAATCGATTACTAGGGTAAGGTACCAAATTGTTACTAACGTGCAACGAGTCAGATTCCATGAAAAATAAAGTCGAGGGACCACTTTTCGAGAGACCATCAAATCATAGGAACGAAATCCGTAATTGACTCTATTACTTTTTGTATTTTATATTCGAGTTTTTTTTAGAACTCCATATATTGTGATAATTATGACAATTATTTTCATGAGATATTATTTCACACGATTTTTTTTTCAATCAAATGATATAATTTTATATATCGAATTAAATATATTTTTTCACAATATGTTTGTTTTATACGTGTCTGTGGAACAAAAAAGTTATGAATTTATGAACTGAATACACATTAAACAAACAGATTGAGAAACAAATATACGTTAATAAATACAATAAATCTAAACTATTAATGAACAAAATCATGTAAAATAACACATGATGCACCAATTCTGAAAGTTATCACAATTTTATCCAATTCTTTTGAGATTTAGGGGCCGTTTACCAAACACTTACTCGGGTAAGTGAACACCAAGTCACATTTCCATACCGGATGAATATGGTAAGGACCAATAATCTTAACCGGTAAGAACGAGACAAAAATCAAGAGTTTTACCGGGTTAGTGAGGGTAACGACTTTTACCACGGTAAACGCTTACCGGGTAAAGTGTTGCATACGATACCGTTTTCGTGAACTAAAATCTTACCCGGTAAGTAAATGATAGTGTTAAACTTTACCAGTAAATGCTTACTGGGTAATTTGTTTGGTAAACGGCACCTTAGAGATGAACTATCTCAGGGAAAAAAAACCCTATTTGATGGATGATTTTTATATGTTTTAATATTCATATTTCTCATTTAATTATCAAAATATCATTTTACTTGCTAACAACGCATAATTTAAATGGTAGAATATTTTATAAATAATTAATTATTTATAAAAAAATTTATATTTAGCTGCGGATACAAAAATAATTTATATTTATTTGTGATTAATTAAAGTTTTTAGTAACTTGACTTTCTTGTTTTATTGGATGGATGAAATAAGCGGTGTTCTTGATTCTAAATTTACGCCTTTTTCTCATTCCATTTCTCTCTGTTTTCGTTTTTGCCCTCAAATTTCAAATTCTCCTCTTCCTGTTCCTTTGAAATCCTTCCTGAATGCTCTCTAAGTTGTTACTCTGAACGATTTTATGGCGATTAATATCATCAAAGAAGGCGATCGATCGCCTCGAATTATATTGCATGAGCCTACCGGATCAACCGTCGAGGTTCGTCAGTTTCTTCATTCTTCATTTTTTGTTGTTGATGATTATGCTTTTTGTAATTAGACTCTTTTGATAATCGTGCATGACAGGTTTTTGATCCGGTTTGTGTATATTATTTGTCTATGTTTGAATTCGTATCGGAGAATCTTTTTTGATAAACAGATTTTGGGTGTCGGAATCGTTCTGGAAACAAGTGGTTGATGGATGCGCTTAGTTTACGTTTCCGGATGAGTGGTTGATTCTCTTAGGGCACATTTCTGGCATCAAAATTTATAGTTCTTTGAACTCGATACATAATCGTTAGAAAGGTTGTGAATTTTCAATTGATGGTCTCAAGTATTGGGGGAAAATGTCAAACATGTAAATTGTTTTGCAGCGAGAAAGATGGAATCGACTGTTTTTCAGTCGTAATACAGAAATTGTCTAAAGTGACGTTCTGAATTAGAATAGCATGTATAAGACGACACCCCCATAGCCAGAAATTTTAATTTGATTATAGTAGCTCATAATTCTAGGGCACCGAGTATAATTTTTATCCTGCGTCTATTCACTTTTCATTTTTCCAGATTCTGTTGCATGCTATTAGGAAGAACTGATTTCTAGTATCTTCATAGCTTCTTTCTTAGATGAATTTAATTCGGAATCCTCTTCCAGTTTATATAGGGGTTAATTTGTATTTTACGCTTTTCTGCTTAGGTGCTCTTGTATGGGGCTCAGGTTATTTCTTGGAAGAATGAACGTAGAGAAGAACTACTTTTCATGAGCAACAAGGTACAACTATCATGTTTTTCCTGTTACAAATGATTGCAAAATGTAGATCCCGAAATATTTTGTGTGGACATTATTCACTTCAATGCAAGATTGTTAACTTGTCCATCCACAGGAGTGGAGATCCATGTATGTATGATGCTCATGCATTTGATGTTTGTCCCAATACTTTACCTGAATGTCAAAATCACATGATCTAATGCGTATGTGCATGTATATGGTATGTTTATTGTTACCATACACCAAGAAAGACAAGAATATGGAACTACTTGAGGTAGGGCATCAGCATTAATGAACTAATGTTTACAATGTAGAAAATTATTCTATGCTTCCATAGACATATTAGAAACTATGGCTACTTGTTTTTCTCTTCCAAGTACAATGATTCAATGTGCTTAGAGAAGTAGTTCCAATAGCTTCGGTGAACAAATTTGCTTAACATATCATTAACTTTGGCATGCAACATACTGAACATGAAGACATCAAAATGCTGAAGAAATGAGATGGTACATGAGATTAAGCTCACACTTGGTCAAGACCTGAAGAACAAGGAGTACTCAACTTCTATTGTATTCGAGTAATTCCTATTACTTGTGATGCAAGCAGGCCTTTACTTAATTCGTGAGATTACTTGAGTAACCTTGCCTTAGTTGTTTGGTATAAGATAGCTAGGTTTGGAGCTTTTCATATAAAAAAGCCTATCCGGCTTGACTTCACTATCATGAATGACTTGCATTGTAGTCGCCCCAAAGTGCCTCTGTACATTTTGTCATTTTCTAATGCTAGTGTCTGATTCCTTAATTTTGGGGTTCTTATTTGGGGAACCAATCTTCTTGGTGGATGTTACATTTAATGTGGATGCTTGGATCCTCTGGCAACTTTACTAAGTAACTCTCCTTAGGATGTAATCTTACACTTGATCCAAAATATATGTTTGTTTTGTACAGGATCTTAACTTGTAAATTGTGATCTTTTTCCTGAGTTGAAGAACTTCTTCTAAATATGTGTTATGACATATTTTTTATATTTTCTCCATGACTCTTCTGCATGTCATTTTTCAGTTCAATATTGATATGTTTTTGTTAACAATAAAGTTTTATTAGATCCCTCTTTTGTTTATCTGCTCCCCTTGCACATATTTGATATCATAGTGACATGGGGACTTGCTCTGCATACAGGCGGTTTGGAAACCACCTAAACCCGTCAGAGGTGGCATACCCATTTGCTTTCCGCAGGTTTGAGTTTAATAGGCATTCTCCCATTATCTTCTTTGTCTTGGTAATGGGCTTGTTAACTGTAATGTGCATATTGCAGTTCGCAAATTTTGGTTCACTGGAGCAACATGGATTTGCTAGGAACAGGCTATGGTTGTTAGACGATGATCCTTCTCCTTTAACACCAACTAACAATCAATCGAGTGCAGATCTCGTATTGAAATCAACAGAAGATGATCTAAAAACATGGCCGTATAGGTACTTTACTACTTTGTACATTAAATGTCCTGAAATATTTGGCTGGTGTTTGTTGACCTCTTAATTGGAACATGGAGATGAAATGGGAGGTAATTGCCTATGCCTTTTGCAGATTTGAGCTACGGCTTCGCATTGCTGTCAGTGCTGGCAGGCTAACTTTGATCCCTCGTGTGAGAAATGTAGATAACAAGGCCTTCTCGTTTACCCTTGCTCTGCGTAATTATTTTTCTGTATCTGATGTCAGGTTTGCCTACTCCATCTCATAATTGTTAGCATTCCAATCTGCTTATCCAAAAGTAGTAGCATCAATCATAGCTGTTAGACATTATTAGGCTTACTGAAAACAATTGATTGTCCACTGGCTTTATAGATTTGGGAATGTGCTTTCTAATTTCCGCACTTTATTGTATGTTAGGTTCATTTTTTTATATCTAAGCACGGAAGATGCTTTCTGTTATTCCCTTCAGATATGAAATTTAATTTGCAGTGAAGTACGAGTTGAGGGCTTGGAGACACTGGACTATTTTGATAATCTGTCGAAGAAAGAAAGATACACGGAGCAGGCAGATGCAATTACTTTTGATGGCGAGGTAAGATATGGTTTTCTGCTTCTATTATATGTCTGAAATGTCTTCATCATGAACATCGAGATTGGAACCATGAAGCTTTAGCTCCAAATACATGACATTTAAAGTTTTTTTATGAGCTTGATAGTTTGTCCTTCTAAACCATGCACCATATATCATATTCTTTTTTAGATTGATCGAGTGTACTTGAGTACACCTACTAAGATTGCGATAATAGACCATGAGAAGAAGAGAACAATTGTCCTACGTAAAGAAGGCATGGTGGATGCAGGTTTATTGCTATCTTTTCTTTGAAGCTGAATTCTTAACTTATATTCCAAAATTATGCCATCGCTGATTATTGAGTATCATATGGTACTTTTGCAGTTTTGTGGAATCCTTGGGACAAAAAGGCGAAAGCAATTCCCGATTTGGGTGACGAAGATTATAAAACCATGCTGTGCCTCGATGCTGCAGCTGTTGAAAACCCAATCAGCTTAAGACCTTTTGAAGAATGGAAAGGTCGTCAAGAACTGTCTATAGTGTCCTCAAGTTATTACAGTGGGCAGTTGGATCCACAGAAGGTTCTTAACGGCTTCCACTGATCCCATCCAGCAAAATGCAGATCTTCCAGTAATTTTCCAGGTTTCTTACTTGATCTGCAATATCATTGTTGCTGCTGCCTTTTACATTGGTTTGGTGTTTAGGGTCTGTTAGAATATTTGCAAAACAAGCTCCCTTGCTATATCTATATTATTCCAGTTGATCAGTGAGAATGTTGCACTTAGATATGATCTGATCCACCAGACATCTTTTAGCAATTAACACCTGGTATAATTAGATCAAAGAATAGCCTCTCTTTTGTAATTGTGTACCACTGGTATCAAATTTCAATTATGGGGTTCTTGAGCAACATATACCATATGTACCTATTCAGATGTTTGAGATCAATATTTTTGGTACTGTTTTCTCAAAATTTAGCACATTTGTCTTCTCTATCTCTATCTGTATTCCCATTTGTGTTGCTAATTTTTACTCATCACATTTTCAATGTTTAACGTATCTGTTTTTCTCCATTTCTCACACTTTTCACTAGCTAGGGTCTTCACGGAAACAGCCGCTCTACTCTTTAGGGTAGAGGTCAGGTCTGCGTACATCTCTCCCCCCCCCCCCCAAAACCAAAAGACCCTACCTCCTGGTGGGATATACTGCGCTTGTTAGGCTTGGTTTATTATTTTGTACTGTTTTGCATATGAAAATGCTGCAAGGGGCTGTTTGGTTGGTTTTCTATATAAAGTTGTCAGTGTGGATTAATCTGTCTATATAAATTGGGAAGGTTTTTGTTTGGAGGGTTTTTTCATAGATGGAAGGAGCGTGTTTTTTATGGGCATGTGCAGGTTCGGGAAAAACTTGGCTTTTGGCATAAAGCTCCCCCCCTAGAAGCTTATTGGAATAAGCCACTTCCTATATTATTAAGCCAACTACCAAATAGTCATGAATAGCTGACTGAATAAGCTGTGAGTCCCATTAAGCTCATTAAGCTGCTAACAAACAGGCCTAAAAATTTCATGACTGCATGCACTTCATTGTCTAAAATTAAAATCAGTTGCTTAGCCAGTACAATTTTGTGTCTTATTGCTACAAATCTTCAACTGCTTAGAGTCTGTCACTTAGAAGAGTGAAATCAGGGACATCCCAAATTTTTCTTTGGCTTCTTTGTCTAAAGGGTCATCTCCCAGATACAAATAGACATAGGCCCTGCAGAGCATCTCGCTTTCAAATTTGCTTACTACCTTGCCATGCACTGCACTCATCAAAAACACATTCTAATCAAAATTGTGTGTTTGTAAGTGCAAATATACTGGACTTTTTTTTGGGTAACCGTGGGTGTCAAGGCCAACTTGCACGCACCTCCGTTAATCCTATGGGGTGCGGAAGTTAACAGTCAGACAAACGCTTTAGTGGCCCTGAGGGGAATTGAACTGGTGACGTCCCAGGAGCAAAACCAAGCTCTTACCAGTTGAGCTAGCGGTCAAGATTCACAATATAACTTAAGACTTGGTGTTATTGAAAAATACCTTTTGTCTCAAGAACATATCCCGGAAGGCATGTGATCTCAATTTCCGAACCAGGAGTGAGTTTGATATCATTCTTCGCCTCCTCCAAAATCCTTCGTCAAGAAGAAAAAAGGATCAAATTTTAAAGCAACACTACGAGTGTGTTTCAACTAAGCCCCAAGCTTCTAGGCTTGGCTTGCTAAAAGCTCAACCCTTTGGATTGGCTTGTATTGGCATGGTTCATATGGGCTCGAACAAGCAAATCTTGGTTCGGCTCATATGAACTTGGCTTGTATGCGTCATATAAAATTAGAAGTGGACCATTCTCCAATCAAAGCCCTCTTTATAAAACCTACAATCAGTTAAAACCGATAACTCATATGAACTAGGTGGCTTGTATAGGCTCTTTTAGGCTTCGGCACATTTAATTTTAGTTTTGCTGATTTATGTTTGTAAGTTAGCTTATTTTTTGAACTTGTTGAAAAGACTTGTTTTCATGTAGCGTTTCAAGAAGCTTTAGGGCTTCTTTTCCACTTCTTTCCAATTATGCCCCTTTCCAATTAGTGTTTCGACACACTTTTAGTTCATGTTACATTGTCATCTAGCTTATCAACTAGTTTTTATCAACCATAATTACTTGGCTTTCAGCTAACAGTTAACTTATCAACGAGTTTGCCAAACATAGCCTTAGGTTCACTGAGCTCCTAAGCCTGAGCGATATTAGGCTCGAGCTCCGTTCAGATGGTTAGACGGACTAGCTTGGATCGGGTTTGCCAAGCTCTTCGATGAGCCGACTCACTGGCTCCACAAGTGGGCTCATCTTGCCTAACCCCCCTACGTAGGACCTGAATCAGTGTACAGGCTAGAAAACCTTGACGGTAACAAAGATACCGTAAGCAAAACTTACCGTTTCATGAGCTCTTCGTTTTTTTCACCACCGAGCTTCCTAATTGCTGCTGCTAGACCTTCATTAAAGTTCTTCCTCACCATGCTCATGGTAAGATTGGCAAACACAATCACCATTTTCACAGTTATTCCCACTGCACTATCAATCACCATTCTATACATCTCTTTTGTAGTCTTTGTTGGTGATTCCACAATCTTTGACTTCATAACACCCACCAATTTCTGGTTATCTGCATATATCCCTGCAAAAAGTAGTTAAAAGTAGGTGCTCAAAAGTGGATTCAAAATTTTGTCTTTATTTGTTTTTCTCCCTTTATCACACTTTTCACAGGTCGAAGGTCTTCACAGAAATAACTGCTCAGGTCTGCGTAAATCTTACCCTCCTCAGATCTCATATTCTTTGAGACAGAGGTCAGGTTTGCGTATATCTTACCCTCCTCAAATCCTATATACTCTGAGATACAGGTCAGGTCTGCATACATCTTACCCTCATATCTCATATACTCTTTGAGATAATGGTGGGGTTTGTATGTATATCTTACCTCCTCAGATCCTATATACTCTTTGAGATACAGGTCAAGTATGTATACATCTTACCCTCAGATCCCATATACTCTTTGAGATAGAGGTGGGGTTTATATGTATATCTTACCCCCTTCATATCTTGTATCATCTTTGAGATAGAGGTCAAGTTTGCATGAATCTTACCCTCCTCATATCCCATATACTCTTTGAGATAGAGGTCAGGTTCGCGTACATTTTACCCTCTTCAAACTCCGTATATACTCTTTGAGATAGAGGTCAGATTTGGGTACATCTTACCTTCCTCAAGTCCCATATATACTCTTTAAGATAAATGTCAAGTTTGCTTACTTTTCAATATAGAGGTCAAGTTTGCGCACATCTTATACCCTCAGATTCACATCTGGGTGGGATATATTGGGTTTGTTTGGTTTTGTCTTGGTTTTAGTTTGGTGCTTAGAAGTGATGCATGTATGTGATGTATTTGAATGCATTGTTGGGTTGTCCTTTACAACCCAACAATGCATCCGACTACCATGTTCGGCCTTTAGTATATAACAATGTACAAGTACCAAAGCTATAGATTCTGATCGAAAACCCGAGCAATTTTTTCTTCCTTACACCCATAGCTTTCAACTGCTTTCCGTCACTTAGCTTGATCGAAAACGAAATACCCGTTTTTGGCTCTATTTCAACCAGCATTTCCTCATTCTGTAGCTTTTCTTCCATCTCTCCGGTTTCACCATTTACGATTCTCTTCTCCTTGTCGTTTGTGTCTTGACCTTTGGTGATCGACGATGTGTTTGAGTTCATGTTTTGAATTAGGGCAAATTTGCATGTAGGATCAAGTGAATGGTGATATATTGTTGTTTTAAGTTTATATATATAGGGATAAATTACCAACAGTTTGAAACGAATTGAATCCCGAGACGATATCGAAACCATTCAGTTTGTGGGGCAATGTACAACTTTTTATGCGTGATGTACAAAACATTAATGCTACATTATGAATGCGTGAAACCAATGGACAAACGACATTCTTATGATTTAGATTCTTACGTTGCGTTGTTTAAGCAAGTTGCCAATTCACGCTAACCGAACTATGGTTCATTGGGATATTAGTTTCAGTACGTTTGCACGTAGATCGTTAAGTTTACGTGTTTTACGTATTTGGATCTCTAAATTACATGTCAAAATTGATTCGACATTGGATAATCCACGACAAGCTATAAAATTTTCGACATGCATCACCGTTACACAGTTTGATTAAATGAATATCAATTCTGAGAGTAAACTATGATTTTTGTTCCAATGGTTTCTTAATAATTTTGATTTTCGTCTCTGAAGTTTAGAAATTGCAATTTTCGTCTATAATTTTTAATTTTATTGCTATTTTCATTCATGACTTAAAGTATAAGGGATTAAAATAATAAAAAAATTGTAAAAGAAACAATAATAAATTATAAATTATAAGAACAAAAATAGCAATGAATTATAAGTATAAGGATGAAAACTGTAATTTTAAATATATAATTTATTATGGTTATTAATTATTTATTTTTAAAATAAATATTTAATTTAAATTAAATATAATAATGGATAATATATTTGTTAAAATTCGTGCACGTATCTGAAACAAAATAAAATATGATAATTGTGAACCGTTATATCACAACAAACCGATGATGGTAAAGTGGTCAACTTTGTACAACCCACCCCCAAGTTGCTCAAATTACTCATTTTATAAGATATAAATATACCCAATTTCATGTTATTTAAATATAGGTCTGTAATAGACTAAGCTCTGGTTTTTTGCAATACGTTAAAAGATGAACAAGATAATGTTGAAAATCCAAATAACTAGAATATATATATATATATATATATATGGATTATTATACAATCTTTTATATTTATACAACCAATACAACTCAATCTCAACAGTCTATTTAATTTGATGAATATGTGATTTCATAGAAGTTTTGATTGTTTTCTAATATAAAGTATTGATCATAATTAATGAATCATATTCATCTTCCATAAATATTTAAATCATAATAAATGAACTCTCATCATTTCTATAAATATCTCAATTAATTGGGTTGTATTGGTTGTACAAATGGACATGGTTGCATTTGAAATACACCCTATATATATAGGAGTCCATTCAAGGGAGAACTGATTAATTTGTGGTAACTATGAGATCTAATGTGAACTGTTTGTTTGAGATGTTTAAGGATATTTCTTAAATAAACTAAAAAGGTAATATGGTAATTCTATTTTTGACAACTAATCAAAATATTTAATTAAATTTTTTAGGAAATATTTAATTAAAATTAATTACCTAGTATATTAATTACCTAATATACATCGTATTTTTAAGACGTATGTGAATCAAAGTGTATCATAGTGATAATGTTCACAATGTTTCACGTGTATCGCTATGTATTTTCATTGTTTTATGAAATGTATCATAATGTGCATTTTCGTTATTTTCATTGTTTTACAAAGGGTATTATATTGTGCATCTTGTATGTATATCTGGACATCACAGTTAATATCGTTTGTAGTTATCACAATATGTATCTTATGTTCACATAAGGTTCATCGAAATAAGGTTCGTCGAATAAGATTCGCCGGAAAGATGAAAAAAGATATTTTATAAAATCCCTAAAATGCTCTTAATTAATATTTTAAGTTATTACCAAAATTATTATTTTCTTAATTTGACATTTGATTTGTGGTTGAGATTAAATCTTACGGGTACTACAAACAAAACAGTTCTTATTTGAAAATTGTTATAAAGATTGTGGTGTTACAGGTAATTTTAGAAATGAAGGAGATGAAATATGAAATGTAGTTGTAGCATTGAATATGAGAGAATTAAAAGAAGGAGATGTAACAAACAAATATTGTTTCATGTGATGTGTATGATGATGCCTTTTGTGAAAAGTTTCAACGTCCATTATTTTAATAAAAATAAATTAATTTATTGAATATAAAATACCATTTAAACAATTTGACCAATTAAATAAAAGTCAAATATAAGACATTTTAAAATTTTACACTTTCGGCATGGGTCGATAGCCCAAACCTTCCGTATCTAACCTCTCTTCAAATTTAAAATTTTATATATCTATACTATATTATAAAGCATTTGACTAAAACTCTTAAAAACTCTTAAAACTCTTAAAACTCTTAAAAATTCTTAAACCCGTTCATCCTCATCCGATTTCATCCCATATCTGAATTCGTGTAACTAACTGCAGATAAACACAATCAAATACAGGATAAACATCTCATTTTAAATATAAAAAATCCAAAATATAATTAGTATAATCATTAAATTCTAACAGAATACTTAATTATTATCTTTATAAAATTTATAATATTAAACCAAAAATAAATTGTTTTATTATTGAACTTAAATAAAATTATATATAAAAAATATATTATATATTATAAATCATTTGACAAAAACTCTTAAAAACCACTTTTTATGCGTAAAGTACTGTTTATTAATGTTACTTAAAACTCAAGATTACAAGTAGATTGTGCGTAAGTACAACTTATTAAAGCTCCATATCTGAATTCGTGTAATTAATTGCAGATAAACATAATCAAATACAAGATAAACATCTTATTTTAAATATAAAAAATCTAAAATATAATAGGATAATCATTGAGTTCGAACAGAACACTTAATTATTATCTTTATAAAATGTTATATTATTAAACCAAAAATAAATTATTTTATTATTAAACTTAAATTAAATTATAATAAATAAATAAATTAAAGAAATTACATAAAAAATGAAAACTTTTAAATAGTTGATTTGACATTAACATTGATAT